TGGCATGGATAAATCATTACCGTATTTTCCACACTAAAAAGCGCACTGGAATATGAGGCGCACCTTCAATGAATGGCCTATTTTGTAATTTTTTTCATACAGTGGGCACACCGCATTATAAGACGCAATCCACAATGCATCCACTAGATGGGCACACCGCATTATAAGACGCAATCCACAATGCATCCACTAGATGGAGCTACGCTAAAGGAAACGCCAACAGAACAATCAGATGTCAGTAAAACTTATTTAATAAAGCAGTGACACAGTTCACTTAACCAACAGCAAGTTATAACATTGACTCGTTAACGTTGAACTCTTGCCGCTGCTCTATTTCCGTGTTCAACTGTGTAACCGATCGCCTTAAGTTTGAACTCTGCATTGTCAGCATGTCTCCAGCAAGGAGCCATTTTGGGGTTGAAATATTACTGTAACGACCATACACAAGGTGCACCGGGTTTTAAGGCGCGCTGTGAGCTTTTAAGAAAATGGAAGACTTTTAGGTTCGCCTTTCACTCCGGAAAATATGGTAAGTTCATTTCTGAAATAACTGTCTACTCTTAGTGATGATATTTTGGATGAAGGAGGAAGAAAATATACCTGAGTTTGCGTGCACTGCGCGCAGACTGCCCGACGAAGATGATAATCGGAAAGATCTCTGCTCTGTGCAGACGACGTACACAGTCCAGCCCAAGCGGTAATACACAATGAATACCCTATAGGATGAGGAGACAAAAAAATATAATGCAACTTAAGATTGGCTCATAAAAGGTTGTTCTGTATCTGGACCTGGTTATCTTGTTGTTTGCTTCAAACCCTTTGGTGTTGAGTTAGGAATCGTCCATCTTTTATACTTGCATTGAAAAAAATATCAAATGTGTGAAGCTCCAGTCACACAGATGAACAATTGTGTCCCCGTTGTTGTCCTTCCCTACAGCACATGCTTGCAATTCAGTCTGCCCAAAAAATGCAGTCTACATCAATGCATAGGTTGACGCACAAACCTTTTTCATGACTTTTTCCACACTCTGCACAGTGTAGCAGAAGTTTCTTCCCACCTCACATTCCTCCAGGAGTTCAGACTTCTGCAATCGGACTGCATGATCACTGGAGCACAACATCTCTGCAACAAACAGTATGTCTGTTTGTTAACATGGTGTACTGTGATTCATTGAAGAAGAAGAAAGAACAACAACAGCATCTATCTATCAATCTAGTCTGAAAAAAAAACAAGCAAAATCAAAATAAGCGGGAGATGTAATTTACAAACAGCAATTAAAAAAAATCAACACTGTGTAAGATATATTGCACATTGTGTTTTATAATACACAGAAAATAATGCACATACAGACAAATTGAGGAGTGGATTTCGAATCACACTCAAGAGTGGAAAATTTAAATCATAAGATGCTCAAGCTTGTGAATTTCCTCAATGTAGCTCAATAATGTAAAAGGCAACCACAGAGTGTTTATGGTGTTCTTTTCCAAAGTTGGATTTGCCCCGACAATACTCAGCATCCGATCAGTCATGTCAGAGACCATATCGTAAGGAGAACACAGCACGTTGGTGTTGTTGCTGGACTTCTCACATCTTTTATCGCAGAGTCAACCACAATCCAAGTCTGAGGCCGAGCTGTTTCTCCGTAACCTCCTATCTTCTGATATTCTTTCAGACCTTACCCGTTGTGTGAAGCATTGTCCAGGTCGACATATGTAGATCCAGGGTCCCGCAACAGTGGAGCCATTCTATTTTGTTACTCCACACTTTGTCCCTCAGGAGTTGTGTTGCTCATCTTCCCATTAGCAGTTGTCCCTGGCTATCCCACTGTCTGTCCAGGCGTTGAGGATGATGGTCAGGCTAGCCGGCCCATTGCATCACAGATCTCTGGGCACTGGGTTCTCCCAGATCCATGTTCTTCATGTTCAGGTCAAGCTGTTGGCTCTTGTCTCATATCCTTTGGCTTTGCTCTCAGCAAATTCCAGGGAGGGCAGATGGATGATTTCTTACTGGGGTTTTTTTCAGCTCTATTCGTGGAGCTAACTAGCTGTCTGTTAGCATTCCTGTGTCCTGTGTTTTGAGACAGACACTTAATGTGGTTTCATTCCCAGATTGTCCATTTAACCTATTCACCTGTGAAATGTTCCAAACTGGTGGTTTTTGTTTTTGCTTGTTAGTTTGTTTGTTTTGGTTTTTAGCATTCCTCAACTTTCATCTTTTGTTGCCAATGTCCCAGCTTTTTGGAAACGTGCTGTAGGCATCAAATTCAAAATTAGTGAATATTTGCAAAGAAAAAATCAAGTTTATCCGTTGGAACATTAAATGTCTTGTCTTTGTAGTGTTTTTAATTGAATATAGATTGAAAAGTGAGAGCAAATCATTGTAGTCTGTTTTTATTTATATTTTACACAACTTCCCAATTTCTTTGGAATTAGAGATTGTTCTTAAAAAACATCCATCCATCCATCCATTTTCCGATCCGCTTATCCTCACTAGGGTCGCGGTGGGTGCTGGAGCCTATCCCTGCTGTCTTCGGGCAGGAGGCGGGGGACACCCTGAATCGGTTGCCAGCCAATTGCAGGGCACACAGAGACAAATAACCATCTGCGCTCACACTCACACCTAGGGACAAGTTAGAGTGTTCAATCAGCCTGCCATGCATGTTTTTGGAATGTGGGAGGAAACCGGAGTACCCGCAGGAAAACCCACGCAGGCCTGGGGAGAAAATGCGAACTCCACACAGAGAAGCCAGAGGTGGAATTCAACCCGGTACCTCTGTACTGGGAGGTCGACGCACTAACCATTGGACCACCGGGCCGCCCCTCTTAAAAAACAAATGCAATATAATGCAGAATTTCTCTTACCAGGTTCACAGAGCTCAAAGCCCTGCCATGCTGCCACCTTCTTATCCAGGATGCGTCCCAGGATGGATGGCAGTAACAGGACTGGTCGACAGATGGGTGGGAAGTGGGGTGTGACCGGTGTATAGGGCATGAGAGTTAGACAACTTCTGGGTGGCGATGTTTCATCTAGTTGTGAGAGAATATACAGTGTTTTCAAACAAGAAATTCTGATCAATTTTGTGTGTAACAATTACTCTTTTTTTTTTTAATGGAGTCAAATGTTGTGTTTCTGTACCCGATTCTGTGCTCTTGCTCTTTTCATTCTCTACGCTGACCCAGAGAGGGTTTCGGCCCTGGCGACCTGTACTGACAATCCTCACTGCTTTCTGAGTGTTCTCAGCCATCATGTGCGCTTGCTGAAGAGGGAAGTGTTCACCAGTGAGCTGTGCAAAATTGCACTCCATACACAGTCACGCTTACCTTTTGAGACTTTGACGTTTGAAAGTTCATTTCTTCAATAGCCCGAATGAGAAGTCGCTGTGCTCTGTGATTATTAGCGGGTCAAGAAGCAGAGTGGTCAATGATAATGAAGCTTAATGTCCTTAAACTTTGCATATGGCACATAAATACCTGTAGTAGTTTGGTACTAATCCACTGTGGAGGGCCAGAAGCTGGCACGGATGAACTTTACTGACGTACCACGAGTCTTGGGTGTCAGCCGGGCGTGTGTTGGTCACATGTAAAATGTCATTGCAGGACACAGTCAGTGTCCCTTTGGGTCCCGCTGGGATGGTCACGTTGACACGCACGTAGAAAGAGTCACCCGATGACATCTCACTCTCCTGCAATTGCTGAAGCAAGGCCTCATAGTCTGTATACAATAGGCACAGAAAAACAGAGTCCTGTAAAATGATTACACACATCAATGATTGTAATTCTGTTTGGTGCTAATTAAAATGTGATGGATTTGTATTTTTTTTTTTCGCATTTACTCAGTTGCCTTATGCCTTAAATGTATTCATCGTCAAGTCAAGAAGAAGCTCTGGCCCATAAATGCTCTTGAAGAAAGCTGTTGAGGTCATTGTTGACAACTGTCAGTGACTCTCCATGGTTTTTAGTCGACCTTCTTTAGATCAAAGCGAGTGGCAACAACAAGTAGCGACAACAAACAATACAGTGGTGGGAGCATTGTACTTTGTTCTGTATATCGAATATACGCATCAACTTTTATACCTGATCCAAATTTGATGAGATGTACTATCCAATGAATGGCAGAATACATGTGGGTGACACATTAAACAATACAGGCTAAGGTTATTGATGATTAGACACAATGAAATTTCAGAGTGGCATTGCATCTGCACCACTGCATTTGTACTGGATTATATCTTTTTGAAATCCTGTCTTACGAAATAGCCAACAATTAAAAGCAAATGTGTCTGTTTTCTACTTGAATAGATTGATTCCCCTTCATGATCCTGTCTGTGTGGTTAGTTTGGATATGATGGCTGTTTTATCCTGATTTTAAAAATGGATTTAATATACAAACACCAATTCCAATGTAGTATGGACAGTGTGCAAAACATAAAAAGAGAATACAATGATTTGCATTTCCTTGTCAACCTATATCCAATCAAATTACACGACAAAGACAATGTAGTGAATGTTCAAAATGCCGAAGGTCATTTATTTATTTGTTTTTCAAATATTCCTCCTTTCTAATTTGATGCCTGCACCATGTTCCAAAAATCTGCGACGGAGGCAACAAAAGAACGGGAACGCTGAGGACTGCTCAAGAAACTCCTGTTTAGAACAATCCACAGGTGAAAGTCACACGCAGGCGTCCCGCACCTGACGTTACAAAACTCGGAAGTAACAGCGGCGCTCTGTTTTGACGGTGGAGAGTTGCGAATGGGAGGTGGATACTGGAGAAAAGTTTGTGGAACACGAGGGCTGTGGTGTGGCAGATGGTTTAACAGTGATCTTGTGTGCGCCCCAAAACCGACGGAGGAGTGGACGAATTGGAAACAGGACAAAAAAAAAGGTCTGTGGTATGCGTGTGTGCGAATGTGAGCGCAGGTTTAAGTTGGTAGCAGTGGCCTCCCTTCAGCACCTGAGGGGGGCCACGCTGTCACAGACGCATTATGAAGCGCAAAGTACGACAACCGAAATGCCGGACGTTTGAGCTTTGTACATCAAGCAAGAATGCGAAAGAATTCCACCGACAAAGATTCCACATTAAGTGTCCTCAGTTCCCATCTTTGTATTCCGTTTTCAGAACATTTTACACATAGAGCCAACTTCACTGGAATTGAGGTCGATGACGCTTCAATTTGGAGTTCTGGAGAAATTTTTGCAGTGGAAATATAGTACGGGAATGAAAACTGTACATGCAGGTTTCAAGCACTGTGGAGACATACCATCTGGCCTGGGACGCAAAGACAGATGGCAGGGACCAGTGACCTGGCCAAGTGCCCACAGAGCTTCTTCTAAAGTGGAATCTTCCAGCACCATCTTGAGAGCTTTTTCATCCTGTTTGTATCTGACCTACAAAATCATCATTGTTCTATTACACACCTTCAAACGCAATAATTCGTGTCGTCAAAAAGTTTTCTCTCACCTCCACGATTTGTGCTCCCTGGGTGATACCCACAGTATGTGCAGCACTCCCTTCTGTTACTTCATGCACAAAGACTCCGGTCTTATTACCCCCTACCACCGCAATCTGATTTAGCAGTGTCTCCCCCTGGAAGGCAATGGTGACTATGCGGCCAATAATGCGCAATGCTTTCGCACGTGAACGCACGAGGAATGGAGGTACGGCATTCTTATCCAGGCTGGTGAGAGATTAGGGACAATAAAAAAAAGAAAGCACATTTCATTATTGAATTAATCCCATCAAACAATCAATCATCCATCCATCCTCTCCCGCTTATCCAGGGTCGAGTTGTGGTGGGAGTAACTTTAACGGGGAAGCCCAGACTTCCCACAACATTCTCTGGCACAAACTGTCGCCCTGAAACTGAAACAATGCCTCACTGTGTGCGTGTGTCCTGACTTGGTGAATAAAAACTCTGGCGGCGGAGGACCTCAGAGCTCATGAGGGGACATAGGGAAAAAGGAGTTCCGAGAGATAGGAAGGCTCAAGAGCATTAAGACACTACTGTGGTCTTCGTCAGGCCACGTGCTGTCGAATGCTGCCGTCATTGTAAGCTTGGAATTCTCTTTTTTGCAAGACCAGAAACCGCATTACACTAAACAATCCATGAAACATGCATGCGTTAGCGTTGATGGTCTATTCTTCAAGAGATGTGAAAACATTGTTTTTTCATTCTTAATGTGTACTGTACAGCAAAATTGGGCTCAGAGTCTAGAACAGAGGTTGGCAACCTTTTGCACTCAAAGGGCCATTTTGAGCCAGTTACCATGGAAAAGACACCACTGGGAGCCGCAAATAATACTTTTTGACATCTGAAACGACGATGTTAGCCTTATCCTTATATATCCTCCTGACTACCAGTAGTTCAAATTTGTCCTCTGTAGAGGACATTTGTGAACCTAAATATCTCCCACCAAATGCCTCCAATCGCATTAACTCCTTTTGTTACTCTAAAGAGGACATTCAGTGCTTTCCAATGATAACAAATTTGTAGGGGTTAGAAAAAGTAAGAAAATGGCTTCCCTCAGTGCAAGCACTTTTTATGGGAAGAGGAAAAGTAATACTTTTTATCGACCACATTTTGTCTTGAAATGCTGTTGGCATTTTAATTATAAGACTCTTATGAACACGTTAAAGTGTTGTTTGAGTTGTTTTAAGTGTATTTGAGCCTGTTTAAAAAATGTAGTGGGATTTCAAAAATTTCTTTTGGAGGAGTCCAATTACTTCACATAGATTGGGGAATGTCAAAATAAATGTGATTGGACAACATTTTTTTTCCTGGTAGTCAGGAGGATATATATATATATATATATTGTGCACTAAGTTGGACAATTGATCAATAAAATTATGCCTGATTTCACACCCCAAAAAGTCATGTGAACTGTCATTTTTATAGTATTATTGGTTGTACAATTGCCTCACCTGTATGTGGTTTTGGTCCCACCTGCAGCATAAAGTCTTGATGGGGGTTTGTCTTCGCTCAACACTAAACAGAAGAGATGGGATTTAGTGATTTTTTTTGGGGCATCAAGGTGGTTTCCCTGTGAAATAAAAAAAACGTGTCCGCAATCATACATCACTTAAAGCCTTTCTTGGTCACTTTACAAGGAAATGTGTTGAAAATTTAACATTTCAACTCTTGACAAGAACTGGAGTGCATGACAAAACTAGGCCGTTTGTGCTCATTAGGGTCATGGGGAATTGGAGCCTGCTTCATCCCTTCTTGGTGAGAGGACAGGTACACCTTGGACCGGTTGCCAATCAATTGCAGGGCACATATTGGCAATCAACTATTCACAATTACACCAAGGGACAATTTTGAGTCTTCAATTGACCTACCATGCTTGCCTTTGGAATGTGGGAGGAAGCTGGAGTATCCAGAGAAAACCTAAGCAAGCACAAGGATGAAAAGCAAACTCCACACAGACAGTCCCACTAACCACCTCCTGGATCTCCTCAATATGAGGCAGATATGAGCTGAAGCACTCATCCACCGCGCGGCTATATTCCATGTTTATCTATTTTTCGTTGATTGGTTGAGACACAGTTTGATTTGCCTGTCAAGGAAGTACATTGTCAAACTCTCATTTGTAGTTTTAGTTGCCAAATCTGGTTCTTGGATTCAAGTTTGAAAAAAACCCCAAAACAAAACCACAGCCCAAGCAAGACTTTCAAGCTTAAAACAGTGAGAACCTTTCCAAACAAGATTGGTCTCCCCCGCAGAACCACAAACTTAACCAAGGAATGTAGACATGCGTAACACACCACTTGGGAGGATCTCAAAGTCGTCCAATGAAGAATCATCGGTCTCCGCTGTTTCCACGCTACAAGACAATAAAACATCCGTATCAGATTTGTGAGTCTCTCTGTCAACACATGCACAGATGCACACGTGCGTGCAAGCACATGTGCACACACCCAAACACAATGATGATCAGCTTCATCCTGTTTGATTTGGTCTCACTGGCACACAATTAGATAGGTGACTAGAGTTAGGACGTTGTGTCGCTGTGCTCTCTCCTCGCTTGGCCTTCCTTATCTATGGCACTCTTGGCAAACATAATAGTTGAATCCAGTTAAGATCGAGGAGTCATATGTGGTCAATTGGGCTAGGTAAAGTTGCCCGCCCAATGTGGGCGTGGCTAAGGTACTATTAAAACAAGGAAACGGACCGGTGGAAGTTCCCTCCAAAGTTTTTATTGTATAATTTAGTAAAAGCACGCGTGCAGAATTGGAGGTAATTGCAGCACTCAGACAGGTTTGGCAGGCAAAGGTGATCACATTGTTTGGAGAGTAAAGTAAACTATTTTCTCACAATGTCACTGACTGGTTGCTCTGTTGTTTCATACTGTACACAAGGTGCGAATAGTTTACTTTCACATCATGACAGAAATACGGTAAAGTATTAGTCACAGAAGCGCACTCACCTGCTGTCTTCGTAAAGAGCTACCTCTCTTCTGCGGAGAGACTGCGGACTTGGAGGCTCTACGTTTCTGGACCGGACGCTACTTGTCAATGGCTCTTTGCACTTCAAGATGAACGTGGAACGTGGGCATACATGCAAACAAAAGTCAACATTTTAAAGCCGAATATATGTGCTTGATTAGAGGTTGGCTAAACACACCTAAATACGGTATCAATTTGACCAAATGCTTATTACATGGTTGATATTAGGACTTATTATATATATGAGGCAAGCAAAATATTAAAATTCCCTCTCCCACTGATTATCATGCAGCACAGTTTAACACCATTGAAAACTACAAAACAATAGTAAAGAGTTTAAACATCAGATTTCAACAGGCAGTCTGTGACAGTCAAAACTTTGCATTATTCTTTTTGCAAAGATTTTAGACGACTTGTGTGTCTTGTATTGTATATATTACACTTGCTCGACTTGCCATTAGTTTGTACAGTATCTTTAAAACTGTCACAATTGTTTCAAGAGTACTAGAACCCGACAATGAATCAGAAAAATCAAAAGATGTCAATGTCAAAAGGCTGCTCACTATTGTCAAGCTACTGAATGTGTATTATGCTGCTTGTGAATGAGCAACTATTTTTTTGACAGTTTTGATAATAACTTAGCTTCCGTTCACATACCTCTGAGGAAAAGGAATTCAGTGAAAAGGGATAAATTGCATCCATGCGGCAAAGTCTGCGCCTGTTTGGAAATGGTGAATCTTCAGAACTGGATAGTTGACACTCCCAGCCAACCCCCCTCTCCTTACGAAGTGAAAAAAGAAGAATGGCGTTTCATTCGGAATTCTTTTGCCCTGTATGCCAATGTAGTTGGGGTCCATAATTACTTTAGTGCTCTGCCATTCTTTGCTGTGTTCGGCATTCACACTAAAGGCTCTCTCCTGGAGCTCCATCATTTGAGACCTCAGGACGTCTTTCTCAGCCAGGATGCAGGCGATCTGGGTCTGGGCCTCATTTCTGGAAAGGTATGCCTTGGAAGCACAGAAAACCAATTCAGTTGGATAACTTGCCAGTTTTAAATAACACACAGGCACACACACGCATTTCTCACATGGTTTTCACAAATAGTGACTCGTCATGTATTAGTCCTCGGGAGTAGTCCAATCTACAGGATATGTGGTGGGTGTCTTTCTGGTGTTGGGTGTCTGAAGAATTATGTCACAGTTTCCACCCTCTACTGAGACTTTGAATAAAAATCGACTTGTTTTGAGTCCTGTCCTGAGGAAATTAGCAACTGTTGAACCCACAAACTGTGTGTTGAATCCCATCTCTTCAAAGGTTCAGGAGCCACAGAATATGTTGCTATTTATTGAAATAGTCACATCAGGGTTGTCACGATCCTGTCACACGATCAGAAATTGGGGCCGATCACGTGATTTTCAGCTGATCAGTACCCGCTGAGAAAGATCGAATTTTTGAATTTTCTACATTTCTACATTGTGGTGATATTGGATTGGGACTCGGTTCTGTCCGATACTCAAAATCAAGTGACTTGTTCCCGGACTAGGGTGCAAATAAATGTACAGTAATCATGACATCCGGAATTTACATCCCATGGGAGACGTTTTTTTTGCATCAGTCTTGACTCATGCGACTCCCTCCTAGTTGCAGTCAGAACAGGAGACATTCAACCATGCGAACACAATTCTACCAAAGGTGAAGCTAGATGCTTCTTCCTGTGATTCTCACTCGTGTAAGAAACTCTTCACCAAGTCTAATTATACGTGTCAATGTAGTGTGACAATCCGTAAAAGAGGCACATGCCACAGACGCACACAAAGCCGCAGACGCAGTCAAACATTTTTCGGAATCTGACGTTGATAATGCCGTTAACCAAATGAACTCGGCTTAACGTTTGACTCAGGACATTCCTGTGGGGGCGGTATTGTTTCAGTTACCGGTAGCCGGCTCATGACACAATCTGGAAAATATCAATGGCTTGCTCACTGACATATTTTCAGAAATACATGGACAGTTCACTAAGAAAGAAAGTAAATGATACAAATGGAAAAATAGAAAGAATAAAAATATTTAATATTGGTGTATAATCATTACTGGTATAATTATAATGAAAAAAAAAATTTCAAGCATGTCAACGGTGAGTGCTAACAAATGACGATACACAAATTGGAAAAAAATTTTAAATTAATTTGCACATATTTGAAAAGTAGCGTTAACATCGCTTATTTGGGTGGCAGGTGAGCTGAAGCCTATCCCAGCAGACTTCATTGTAAGGTGGCAAAATCATATTCTGGTGTTAAAAACTTGAATAGATGATTGACTGAGTTAAAATTGTTCCATGACTTCTAGAGAGAGGCATCATCTCTAATTCAATTTATCTTACGGTGTCCTGAAAAAGTCTTACTTGGTCTCTCTCTGTCTGCAGCTCTCTCATCTGATTCTGGATGACGGTGCTCTTTTGTTGGTACATGTTACAATCCAGGGTCAGCTGCTTCACTTGAAGGGTCAGGCATTCGTTCTGATCCAAAAGCTGAACAATGATGCACATGATGTCGTGAGAATTTTGTGTGAACATTACGTACACAATTTGACGACAAAGTCAACACGATGCTTCACTACATAGAGAAACCACGTCAGTGTATGATTGGCAACAAATGTATTTGCAGCACAAGTTCCCCGATTCCATTCCTGTGCAGTCAAGCGTTCACGGTTTGTCTCCAGGGCAATTAGAGCTCCGGCACATAGCAGTTAATCAAGAACTCCCAGACTCCTGAATGACATTTTCCATCTCACAAGCCACATTGGTGCAAAATAACTACTGACACTATGTTAACTGTAGCAATGTTCCTCTTAGCATGCGTTGATTTTGCATTGAGGCAGTTCCTTTTTATTCAAGAGTGCCATATTTCGTTGGACGTCTAGGAGAAAACACGACTAAACACACAGCTATTAAGCCTTCCTATTGAGGGGGATGAGGACCTTATTTAGCGCCCAAAGCGAGTCATGTGGGCTTGGGCAGCCACATGAGTCATTAAAAGCAGAGCATGATGGAAGCTTGAAGGGAAAAAAAGGGGGATTCAATGAACTAATCATACTCGCAGTAGCGTGAAGTGAAGCCACTGGCAGCCATCTTACGTTGCTACTCGTGAAGCACGCCTAACTGGAGTACATTGATTGCTCTGCAGCATTTTTACTTAATTTATTTTCGACATTAGTTCAAAAAATGGTCAACCTGATGGAGGTCTCTGAAAAAAGAGCTGCTGATAATTTTTCAAAAATGTCAAGTCATGCAGCCTCCTCCTACACAGGCTTCCCATTACATTCCATATCCATCCATTCATTTCTGATCTGCTTTGTTCTCACAAGAGTCGCGGGGCGTGCTGGAGCTTACCCCAGCTGTCTTGGGGCAGTAGGCGGGGGACACCCAGAACCGGTTGCCAGCCAATCGCAGGGGACCCTCAGACAAACAACCATCCACCCTCACACTCACACCTTGGGACAATTTAGAGTGTTCAATCAGCCTGCCACGCATGTTTTTGGAATGTGGCTGGAGAGAAAACCCACGCAGGCACGGGGAGAAGATGCAAACTCCACACAGGAAGGCCGCACTCACCACTGGACCACCGGGCCGGCATGCAAATTTCTTGACTAAGAAAACAGTGGAGTTCAAGTTATTAAAAAAAAAAAAAGGTGGTTGTGGAAATTCTGATTAGCTGGTCACTTCAGAGAGTCACGACCACATTGGCTCGTGATTAAAAAAAAAGGAGAAAAAAAAAGAGTTCCACAGTCACACTAATGAAACTCACCTCTTTTTTCTCTCTGTGCATCTGTTCATTTTCTTCTCTATAACACTTGAGCTGACCTGCGAGTTCCACTTGGCTATCTATAGCCTCAGCCAGGTCCTGAGCCAGAATATCCTGATGCGCCTACCAAAGGGAAAGTGTCGATGAAATACCATCACGGCAGATAAAATAGTTTTTGCCTCTCATATCCAGGTCGGGACTTTTTTTTTCTCACTGGGTTTAGTTTCTCTATCTTGACTAACTGGCAGCGCAGACTCCTGACTTCCTCTTGCAGCAGAGACGCCTCAGCTAAAGAGTCGCATCTCAGAGAACGCCGTTTCTGGAAGTCACTCTCTGTTTGGGCCTTTTGCAGTTCTGTTTGCAGTTGGTAGATCTGCCACAACACAGTACATAAGAAACATAAATGATCATCGGAAGGTACGGAGACAAAACACCGATCTTGTGTTACGTCATATCTCAAGGTATCCTGTTGATACATCAGCAGCAGGTGTCAATGCTAGCTGCGAATCTGACTTTTGAATGTGATGCATCTGAAACCAAATATTATGAAGTTGCCAATTTTAATTTTAATGATCGGCTGCTCTACTACTTGACAATCCATTCATTTGTTTCAACAAAGAGTCCCAACCACATTGATATTGAAGCCATTCATCCTGACTGAAGAAGCAGACAATGACGATGAGCATTCATAGACAGGACTAGGAATGGGAGCTACTCGGATTGGATGTTACCCATTGCCACATTGTAGAGTGGGATTCTGGTTGTTGCAAACCCTTTTAATCTTAAATTTAAAACTCTTTAGCATTTTAGGAGTTCAAACAGCTCAAGGCAGGCACAAGTGCAGCTCTACTGAACAGTTAAATAGATAAATGTATGTGAAATGTATACGAGTGTATGTGTCTGTGTGTCAAGCTCTTTGGGCAGAAACTGTATCATGTAGATCCACTGGTATATGTGTAGTGCACTCCTTGCACAATTTTAATCAAATTGGCTTTTTCATCTGTTGGAGTGTAAAGTGTTTGCTTTTGGCGGACTGATGGCGTGACGATAGATGGAGTGGCAGAGCGATGAAATTTACTGCGGGAAGCAATGCGGGAAGAGTGATTTTCATGGCTCAGCTTAAAAATTTGATGGACTGACAATAACGGACGGGTTGCTATGCTGTTGATGAATGACAAATGATGGAACAACAAAAATTGTATAAATTGCCCACCCTCAATCATTGTTGAACAGTAAACAATATTCGACAGCATCGTCATATCTAACACATTATTTTTCTCAGTGAAATAATCCAATTTTAGCTTCTTCACAAATAATCAACTTTTTCAAGGCAAGTCAATCGCAAATTTTTCTTTCCGATGACATGTTCCATGTGGCTCTGCGAGTCTCAAACACGGCATTCTGATAAATAGTGTGTTTGTTGAAGATGAGTTATAAAAAAATAAAATCCACCATTTTTTGTCCATCTCAAGGGAATGCCATTTTGCCACTTGCTGTCAACTGCAAATGACATCAGAGTTGCACAGGGCTCAGGTATGACCTGTCATGGATTAGCTTCAGAAAACAGGTAAACCGTGATTGACCGCTCCCTGAGATGGCTAATTTTTTTTTTTTTTTTTTTGATTTTGCTGCTTAACTCTTATTCCACAAACACAATATTAGAATGCCCTGGTGAAACTAATGGAGGTGCATCGAACATACTCCCAAGAAAAATTGGGGGTTGGCTTCCCCTTTAATGAAATGCATTGCAATGTGCAAGACACTTTCAAGAAGCTTTCAGCAACATTCCTGAGATTTGACATTAACTATCGAGTACAGAAGTGAGTAACATTTGACAACACTGGAATAGGAATGACACTTAAAACAAAAGTTTTTTTTTAACCTTGCATGCGTGTATGTGGGGGGAAAAAAAAAGAATAATTAACCGGTCATCAGCCACATTGCATAATTGCCTCAGTCAGTTTTCAATATTTTTCAAAAACAAGAAAAAAACCACAATAAATGCTGATTCTCATCCCAAACACTTCACACTCAGTTGTGAAACATTTGCATGAGAATTGCATCCAAAGAACTACATCATCTGCAATAAGAGAAGCAATATTGAGGTCACCAAATCAGGGACCCCCCAGTGCCCTCAGAAAATCTGTCAATAAAAGGTTTCAGAACAAAATCAGTGGGCAGCTTTTGTAGAGTGCAACTCTCACTGGAAACAAATCTGGCAGTACAGCCAAAATTCTCTCCACAAGAGCCTATGAGGGACACGGTTGAACACATTCCATAAAGTCCACAAAGCACATGTAGAATGGTTGGGGAAACTCCCACACACCCTCAAGAACACTGCTCCTCCAAAATCTGAGACTTGATTTACCAGGAAGGCTGAGGAGTGTGATTGCCCTGTAGTTGGAACACACCCTTCAGTCCTTGACATTCCAGAGACACTGTCTCCGACGTCGACGCGATGTTGCAGAGGCCTGTCAACCAGGAGAGCTCCCCAGCATCCACAGCCTTTAGGAACTCCGGGCAGATTTCAACCACCAATGGGGCCCTGCCACCGAGGAGGTTTTTGAAATAATTCTCTGGCATTCGCCTCTCGACTTCAGTCACTAACTTGAGTGTCGAAATGCACCCTCACTTGACTTTTCAGACACATTAATCACCTCTGCAAGATCCCCTTCTTTCACCTCAAAAACATTGCAAAATTTGGACCACACACTCAATCAGTCTGATGACGAGTAACTTGTCCACACAATTGTCTCTTCCAGGCTTAACTCTTCTCATATTGCACATAGAGAACAGTGCTGCCAGTATCCTGATGAAATCTAATTGCCGTCCCAGCAGTGCCTCAAAGGCCCTGCCTCCATCTACCTCAAAGAACTGCTCATTCTTCGACAGGTGGTCCACCTCTGCTCTGGAGGAAGCCAAACATCTCCACCCATTGAGGACCGAGCGTCGATCAATGGGTGACCGTGCACTCCGCTCCGCCGCTGCATACCACGGACCGCGGAGCTGCTGCTTTTAAGAGAGGCTTGAAAGTGTACCTTTTTAGAATAGCCTTTATTAGAACGCTTTTTTTTTTGTGTTTCTTACTTATTTCATTTGTTATATATATCCAAAATGTAAAAAGAAATGTTGCTACAAGTGTTCCGTTCTTCAATGACAACAATATCACTTACGGTTTTCTGCCAATGTATAAATTATTGCATAAGCATAGTTACGGATTCTATCAGATCCTGAGTTATGCTGCAACTTCCTGTGATGGCATTATGCATTGTTTTTGAAACAAAATAATGGATGCAGAAGTTGAGAATTAATTTAAAAATCAATAAAACATGTCCAGTAAGTGCAATACAGATAACATTACTTTAATTCTTCTCGATTGTCAGGGAAACACTATTTATGCTGAGAATAATCGTACAAATGTGACCAAATGAAATGGTGAAAAATGGTGATGGTTGCATCCGCAATAGTCTTAATTGCAGCCAGTAAAGTTGCATCCATCCACTTTCTAGACCGCTGATTTTAGTTAGCAGGAGCCCTTCCTCGCTGGCTTTGGGCAAAAGGCAGGGCTGTCCTCTCTCTCTCTCTCTCTCTCTCTCTCTCTCTCTCTCTCTCTCTCTCTCTCTATATATATATATATATATATATATATATATATATACCTGTATATATACAGTATATGTACTGAAAGGATTTTCTTTCACAGTATCGGCTTTCATATTGCTGTGCACTTTGTTACAGCTGCAGCGCTATATTAATCAGGATGTTGTGTCAGTGCTGCTTTTCATGGTTATAGATGATTCGAGTGAAGGTTTGGAATACGTGACTGCAAATACTGTAATGATGTTTTGTTGAGTGTAAATGAGAGACTGTATACATTTGGCTGTGGTTGAGGAAGAGGGGGTGCCAAGGTGCCACGAGCAAGGGGGGGACCCCGGCCGCTTGACTGGAGATCACAATCGGCACTTAAAAGGGCCCCCACAGCAGGACGACCACTTCCAACAACAGAAGACGGCCAAATGCGGAAGACCATATCCACATCAAAGGAAGATTCACAATAGAATGACAATTCACACCTAATCTGACAGATCCAGTTGATAACACCCGGATTGTCCTCTCAGACCATTTGCCCATGCCTGAAAGTACACACACACACACACACACACACACACAGAATGCCCTGGTGAAACTAATGGAGGTGCATCGAACATACTCCCAAGAAAAATTGGGGGTTGGCTTCCCCTTTAATGAAATGCATTGCAATGTGCAAGACACTTTCAAGAAGCTTTCAGCAACATTCCTGAGATTTGACATTAACTATCGAGTACAGAAGTGAGTAACATTTGACAACACTGGAATAGGAATGACACTTAAAACAAAAGTTTTTTTTTAACCTTGCATGCGTGTATGTGGGGGAAAAAAAAAATGTGCAAGACACTTTCAAGAAGCTTTCAGCAACATTCCTGAGATTTGACATTAACTATCGAGTACAGAAGTGAGTAACATTTGACAACACTGGAATAGGAATGACATTTAAAACAAAAGTTTTTTTTTAACCTTGCATGCGTGTATGTGGGGGAAAAAAAAAAGAATAATTAACCGGTCATCAGCCACATTGCATAATTGCCTCAGTCAGTTTTCAATATTTTTCAAAAACAAGAAAAAAACCACAATAAATGCTGATTCTCATCCCAAACACTTCACACTCAGTTGTGAAACATTTGCATGAGAATTGCATCCAAAGAACTACATCATCTGCAATAAGAGAAGCAATATTGAGGTCACCAAATCAGGGACCCCCCAGTGCCCTCAGAAAATCTGTCAATAAAAGGTTTCAGAACAAAATCAGTGGGCAGCTTTTGTAGAGTGCAACTCTCACTGGAAACAAATCTGGCAGTACAGCCAAAATTCTCTCCACAAGAGCCTATGAGGGACACGGTTGAACACATTCCATAAAGTCCACAAAGCACATGTAGAATGGTTGGGGAAACTCCCACACACCCTCAAGAACACTGCTCCTCCAAAATCTGAGACTTGATTTACCAGGAAGGCTGAGGAGTGTGATTGCCCTGTAGTTGGAACACACCCTTCAGTCCTTGACATTCCAGAGACACTGTCTCCGACGTCGACGCGATGTTGCAGAGGCCTGTCAACCAGGAGAGCTCCCCAGCATCCACAGCCTTTAGGAACTCCGGGCAGATTTCAACCACCAATGGGGCCCTGCCACCGAGGAGGTTTTTGAAATAATTCTCTGGCATTCGCCTCTCGACTTCAGTCACTAACTTGAGTGTCGAAATGCACCCTCACTTGACTTTTCAGACACATTAATCACCTCTGCAAGATCCCCTTCTTTCACCTCAAAAACATTGCAAAATTTGGACCACACACTCAATCAGTCTGATGACGAGTAACTTGTCCACACAATTGTCTCTTCCAGGCTTAACTCTTCTCATATTGCACATAGAGAACAGTGCTGCCAGTATCCTGATGAAATCTAATTGCCGTCCCAGCAGTGCCTCAAAGGCCCTGCCTCCATCTACCTCAAAGAACTGCTCATTCTTCGACAGGTGGTCCACCTCTGCTCTGGAGGAAGCCAAACATCTCCACCCATTGAGGACCGAGCGTCGATCAATGGGTGACCGTGCACTCCGCTCCGCCGCTGCATACCACGGACCGCGGAGCTGCTGCTTTTAAGAGAGGCTTGAAAGTGTACCTTTTTAGAATAGCCTTTATTAGAACGCTTTTTTTTTTGTGTTTCTTACTTATTTCATTTGTTATATATATCCAAAATGTAAAAAGAAATGTTGCTACAAGTGTTCCGTTCTTCAATGACAACAATATCACTTACGGTTTTCTGCCAATGTATAAATTATTGCATAAGCATAGTTACGGATTCTATCAGATCCTGAGTTATGCTGCAACTTCCTGTGATGGCATTATGCATTGTTTTTGAAACAAAATAATGGATGCAGAAGTTGAGAATTAATTTAAAAATCAATAAAACATGTCCAGTAAGTGCAATACAGATAACATTACTTTAATTCTTCTCGATTGTCAGGGAAACACTATTTATGCTGAGAATAATCGTACAAATGTGACCAAATGAAATGGTGAAAAATGGTGATGGTTGCATCCGCAATAGTCTTAATTGCAGCCAGTAAAGTTGCATCCATCCACTTTCTAGACCGCTGATTTTAGTTAGCAGGAGCCCTTCCTCGCTGGCTTTGGGCAAAAGGCAGGGCTGTCCTCTCTCTCTCTCTCTCTCTCTCTCTCTCTCTCTCTCTCTCCATGTGACGAAATTAAGGATCTACACAATTTGAATATAATATTTTAATTTGCTGCAGTAACCAACATCGTTGTCGTCCGATGAAAAGCATGTAAAAACACGAGGAAAACATTGTGTAAAATACATTGGGACAAAATGCCAAAACAAAAATTAAAATGAGAAAAAACAAATATATACAAAATAGAGGGAAATGCACGCACGCACACACGCACGCACACACACACACACACAAAGAGAGGAACACCCTTTTTGGGGAATTGTATTAAAGGTGGGTCAAGGAAAAGGTGTCTTTGTCACTCTGCCTCGCTACCCTCGTGGTTAGAAGTTGATGACCCATAGCTCTGTTTAGAATAATTGGCTTGATTTATGCTGTATTAGACTATTTGTTAGCCTTTAAATACGTTTATGTGTTCCTGACTCAATACACGTGTGCATGTGGTCATTCCTGAGCCCATCAACGAGCACCGCGGAAATCCACCAATGTATTTGATTACTGGTCAAATAGTGTGGAAATTCCGCCTTCAATATAAACACACACACACATGCTTTGGCAGCAATATTAATTTACTTCAAAAAAAGTAGTTCTAGTGGTTCCATGATTACGTACTAGTAAGCAGGTTCCCTCTAGCGCCACACAAAATGAAAACTGAACGAAATGTCCAAATTGTGTGAAACATAACAGTGGCTTAATTTTTCATTTTTTTTTTTAGTCAGCACAGTCCATCAATTAAATACAGTACAATATGTTTGCAATTAATGTTTTAGAACTGTTGGTTTTCAAATATATCTTAAGATAGAATTGTACAGACATTTTTAATACACTAATATATTTTAAATGAATCATCATTTAAGAGTAGGTTTTCATTTTCCTGAGTTTTAGCTGGATGCTGATGTTCAAATTCTGCAAACACACTCAAATAAAATATGTACCGATATACAAAGTAAACATTTGGGTGGCATAAGTGTCAGAACACCCACAGATAGAGAGATTAAAGCACTTTCTCAAAGTTTTTAACGACAGATAGCAAAGTAATGATGACAGACTGCGTTGCACACGGGTGCATTCTTTTGATGTTTGACATCAAGATCACCATCACTCTTAGTTTATCGGCCAATATCCCCACATGGTTTTGACAATCGGATTTGGGTAAGTGAAAACTTTCATTGTGATTTATCATTGTGAAGATTATGTTGATTCTGAAAAGGTATTTGGCACTTGGGCTGCATTCTTGGCAGAGTAGCGAGCATGAAACATATTTTCATTTGTTTTCTGAGATGGCATGCATCCAAAGTCAACAAGTCTTTATCATCACATCTAAAAATAACTCATCATGGACTCAGCAATTGTTCAAATTTGATCTGTGACAGTATCGATAGATGATGGTGTGTCGCTATCGATATGACAGAGCAGATAAATTGGCCCAATAGCTGTATTTTAAGAGGGTCTATTTATTTGGAATCCAAGACATTGGCGTTGACTACCAACCTGTAAGTTGAGATCATGGAGGCGCATGCTCACAGCTGATTTCTCCTCAATGGCTGCAGTGTAGCGCACATACAAGTCGCACTTCTCGTCCTTCAATTGGGTAACTTCACGTTGCAGTGAAGACAAATGTCTGTGTACGCGCTCATATTCCAACTGAAGGCATCTGGACTTTTCCTCGTGCTCCATTATTTGTTGAATCTCAGCCTCCAGAGAGGCACACCGAGCACTCATTTTTCCAGCCTCGCAACGAGCCTCTCGAAGCTCATTCTGCATCCCGGTTACTGCTCTGATAAGGTACTCTGTCAGTTCAGAATACTTTATCAGGCCTGTGCGGAGAGTTGAGACATGGGGCAAATAAGACGTATGGAAATTTAAACTCATTTGGCAGTAGCAGACATTTAAATAACAAACCGCTGAATCTTGAAGGTTCTGAGCTGGGTTTGCGTCCAGTAACTTGAGTGTAGAGGGTCGGGTAGTGGATCATCAGGCTTTCCAGCAAAGCCACTGCACCGTTCCTGCCTTGGGTCCGCAGCAGATCCATCATATGGCCTGCAAACAGTGTGTGGGTTGGCGGGGGGAAGGTTCAGGGATCGGGGGAGTCATCCTTATCGCATACCCTTTGTCTCTTTATTTCAGCTTAATTTATTCGGGTCAGGCAATTTTCAATACAGACCTGGCAGCACACAGTAGTGTAAAACAAAAAGTTTCAACTTGCGTTATCAGCCAAAGCAATCAGATGACTTTTAGAATATCTCAGTAGTATGACTATTATAATGCAATTATGCAGTAACTCCACTTACATGTCAAAATAATTTGCCAGTGAATGTGTCTTTGTTTTGAATAGAAATAAGATGAGGTGTGCATTATGGAGCAGACTGGAATTGATTGTCAGTGTGGATTTTACAAGTAAATAGCAGCAGCAGCAGCAGCATCATCTTACTTGTTCTCATTGATCGATTGGTGAGGTTGTGGCTGGAGAGGATCTCATCCTCATCCATCTCGGTGAGCACCCTGGCCTGCCTGAGGTATGGAATCACGATGCATGGTCGCACCCCCAAGGACAGCCGATGGCGATTGTCATTGATGAGTTCCCACAGTTCCTCTTCGCCCATCTCCTTCAGGTCGGGACCCTCGGGCACACTCTCTCCTGCCATCTTGAGTATGCTGAGTAAGTCGGCAAAAAATGTTGCTCGTAGTCGCCGCTGCTCAGTGACTCATTACTGGAAATAGACAAGAATGACAGCGAGCCTGGTAGAGACAGGCCAATGGTATAAAAGGCACAGTCTCTCCACACCCAGTGGGCGTTTGTGTCAAATCAAGTGTACAATACGTGTGTGTGTGTGTGTGTGTGTGTGTGTGTGTGTGTGTGTGTGTGTGTGTGTGTGTGTGTGTGTGTTGACATGTGGGAAAACCTGTAATACAAGACTTCTGCACAGTAAGGACAAACTACATACAGTATAGTTGACAGATTCCCTAAACTGCGTTGCAATCATAAACTTACATGATCACAAACAACCACAAAGCAGAACATGTTTTCATGATTAAACAATCTTGGATTGGCCCGTATCAGCTTCCTTCCCCTCAGCACCACGACTCTCCCCCTATTACAATACCTCATTGCAATCCAGCAGGCTTGTGTTTTGCCCACATCATATTCGGTGTCAAAAAGATTAAAACACAAAACAATTATGATTGGAGAGAGCACACATGAGCTGCACGTCTCATCCATTCACATTTTAGGTGAGTTGTGACTTGTATTAAAGCATTAAAAAAAATGTTTTGGCATCATTTATGTTTGTTGAATGGAGTGACACCTCAACAATTGTTCAGCTCTGCATGTATGAAGGTTCTCTGTTAAATTAGATGTCAGTCAAGTTTGTCTCGGTAATTCCTCATTATTGAAGTCAATCAAACAAACATTCCAGACAGCTGACTGGAGCAAACAGAACAGTCAAGTGCAAAGTCCTCGTTGCAATGAGGAAATGCGACTGGAGGCATAACAGCTGTAAAACGACAGTGTAGGTTCAAAAGGTTTCTCATTTTGTTCGCTCACCTGCCATCCTTTTGTGTGAGCAAGCTATTTACTGTGCTGTGAATGATTTATGCAAACAAATAGATGATCTCAAGGCAATCTACTGTAAAGGAAACAGGTACACAATCACTGCCGAATTATGGGAACACTCAATAACAGAGAGCGAGAAATCTTTTCAGAGGATATTTTAACACTATCAAAACAAAAATAAAAAAATCCAGATCCTATGAAATTGCTGAACTAGAATTCCATGTGTCAGAACTAAAGTTGAATGCACAAAGCCCAGGTCAACCGAAAAATGTGTCTGCAGTTGGCTGCACATAAGGCTGTCCCGTTATGACCCATGCAGCAAATTGTGCAAGACAAGGGCTCGGTGAGCATTTTGACTCATTTGTCAGGACTCGGAGTCTGGTTGCAAACAAAAATAAATAAATAAATAAAAAACATGGCCGCTACTGGATATGTTGGAGAGATGCTCGTCTGCTTTCAGATTACTGTTGAGGTGCAAGCCATCGATCCCCCACAACCTTAGTTCGAGAGGTGCAGAAGAAGAAACAAACAAAAAAACAAAAACAAGAAGGTCTGTTTGTATCCTGCATATGCTCTCTTCACAAGGCCTTGAGTTTATTCTCACAATGAAGAACGTAGAGTATGGCCTCTTTATCTCACCAAGTACGGTCTTCCTAAGTACACAGGCAAGAATGTTAAATCGAAATGCTGTTCACTTGTTAACTACCTCGCCGCCTCTGAATTATACCCGTGAGAGCAGGACGAAATTCATTTTGGGATGTTTTCCTAGCTACATTTTCACAAGTATCCAATGATGCATTCTTGGTTTAAGGTAGCTGACAAGAACAACATCCATACGTAATTGTTTATTTCATTCACGGTCAAGAAAACGAATTGAGAAACGGATTTGGCATTTTGAGTCCAGGAACTACTTGCATGTACAGTACGGCTTGGCATGCAACCCATTGGAAATACACAAGCAGAGATGAACAAACATGGCGAAACTCAGACACACCCAAAGAACCCTACTTTGTTCATGTGGTAAAAGGCACACATGAAGGCTTAGGGGTTCCGTTGTTGTATTTTTCGCTTCATAATGTGCCACGTATTTGCAATGGGAGACAGGTCTGGACTGCAGGCAGACCAATCTTGTATCCGTACTCTTTTCCTATGAAGTCACATGTGTAGAATGTGGTTTGGATTGTCTTGCTGAAATAAGCAAGGGTGTTCATGAAAAAGACGTTGCTTGAATGGCAGTATATATTTCTCCAAAACTTGTACGCACCTTTCAGCATTAATGGCGCCTTCACAGATGTGTAATTTCCCCATGCCATTGGCACCATCACAGATGCTGGCTTTTGAATTTTGCGTCCGTATCAGTCTGGATGGTTCTTTATCTCTTTGACCCAGAGCCTCAGGCCCAGAGAAGCTGACGGCGTTTCAGGATGTTGTTGATAAATGGCTTTTGCTTTGCATTGTACAGTTTTAAGTTGCACTTACGGATGTGGCACTGAACTGTATTTCTTGATATTGTTCCTGAGCCCATGTGGTGATATCCTTTTCATATTGATGTGAGGAACAAAAGGGCACAGACATTCAACCAGTGGCGGGCCGTGCATTTCAACCGTAGGCCTTCAGTGACGTCACATACATACACAATATAGGCTCGTCAAGCAGCACTTAATTTCAGGAGCATTTAAAACCATCAAGTATGCATTCACAATTAAGAGCAGGAAACTAAATTTACAGATATTGTCAAAAATAAAAAGATGATTTAAAAATACGAAATAAAATGCCACCCAAATTACGCTGTGTGATCTTAAACAAGTCTGTCCAATAAATTGCGCAATGTCGCAGTTTCATATAAGACACCAACCAAACAATAACAAAACAAACCATTCTTTGAAAATAAACAGATCATTTGCATTTTGAAAATCGGCGATACAACAGCAAATAACTGAAAATGTTGAGCAGCTGAGATTGAACGAACTTTCGTGCACGAAGGTGACTACAATGCGCCATTATAAATTGCAGGTGAGCAGATTTATTTGATACATTTTTGTATCTTTGTCATTTTATTTCATTACCATGAATTTAATACTAACGAAATAAAATGACAAGAAGAAATGTAAAATAAAATTCATTTACTCACCAATGTAGTGCCTGTTCAGTGAGCTGCAGATCTACGCGAGTGTCCCCAAACGTTTTGAAACGCCCCGTAGCTTGTAAGTGCCCAGCAGTGCTCTGATGATGTTTCCTTGCTGCATTGGTAAAACAATCCAGTGTGGCCCCAAACACCAAATCGGTCAGTTGCAAGCAATAGGCATTCACAGCAGTACAATTTGCAGCGTTTCTCAGAGGCTGTGAGCCACGGGTACCGTTCATAATTGCTCGTCTGAAAATTACGGACAAACCCTTTTCCTTGCTGGAACAGGCTAGCTAGCGCAGGAGTTGGGCGACCTCTTCGCACAATATCCAGCATTTCGTGGAAGGTCCATCTTGAAAATTGTGTGGAAAGTAGTTCTGCAACCAGATCAACGTCTTCTCCTTTGGCCATTTTGGGTTAAAATGCAGTGATAGCCCTCGCAGGCGCAAATCCAATCTTTTTTTTTTTTTTTTAAAGAATCTTTATTGAACAAGTCAGGATACAATTCTCAGTAAACAGAAAAGGCACTAACCCAATCACCGAATGCGCATGGCCAGTCTCGACATAAGGCCTTCTAGCTGGTCCTAGTACGCAGACGAGGCAGATCACGAGTCTTGGGACTCGTGATCTGATTGGCTATTGCAACCTGACTGTGCCCGTTCACTTACAGCACACAGGGGCCTGCTCTGTTTAATCTGAATGCCCCGAGCAAGTTTAATTTACCTGGCAACACAAGCTATCTGAAATATGATTGGTTAAGAACTCTACCATAATAAATAAGTTATTTATCGAGTGGCTTTCAATGTTATTTAAAATAACAATGTTATTTAAAATAACTTTGAAAGCCACTTGACTAAGTGGAAATAATATGACGTAAAGAACACAGAGAATAATTTTGTTTACATATTTATGAAAATAAAATAACAAATTAAATTTATGTTATTGTTTAGGCCAGCAGAGAAGGCCTTGCTGGCCCTGACGGAACGCCACTGCATTCAACTGTGCTTTTCGGCCTTGCCGCTTCCATGCAGTGATTTCTCCAGATTCTCTGAAACTTTTGATGATGAGATTTTTAAATTCCTTGCAATAGTACAATGTCCTGAAACTATTTGACTATTTTCTCATGCAGTTGTTCACAAAGGGGTGAACCTTGCCCTATCTTTGCTTGTGAATGACTGAGCAATTTAGGGAATCTCCTTTTATACCCAATCATGCCACCCACCTTTTCCCAGTTAGCCTGTTCACCTGTGGGATGATCCAAACAGGTGTTTGATGATCATTCCATAACTTTCGGATTTTTTTTTTACCACCTGTTCCAGCTTTTTTGCAACATGTTACAGCCATACAATTCGCAGATTATTTGCTAATAACAATAGCATTGATCAGTTTGAACATTAAACATCTTGTCTTTATAGTGTATTAAATTAAATATATTGAACATGATTTGCAAATTATTGCATTCTGTTTTTATTTAGGTCTAACACAACATCTCAACTTCATTGTTATTGGGTTTGTATCATGATTCACTTTCCTGCTTAGTTGTTCAGTCTGACATCTGGTGGCGGCGCTGCGGCATTAGATTGATAAGTGAAAGGTTTTGTCCATCAAATCCAGCTGCATTTGATGTAAAAATTACATGTTGTTTGCTGCTGATGACAAATGATGATAGACACGACAGTAGAGAAGTGACACGATACAATCTTTTCCATTGTCTTTCTGATATGTATTATCATACCGCCCAACTCTAGTGGTCAGTGGAGGCCAGTCTCCGGCCACAACCCCTGCGGGCGCGTCATCTCATTGCCACAATTTAGCAAGTCATTGTCTCACCCTGGCCACCCCACTGAAAAAGTTTTGCCCCGCTACTTTCTATACACCACCATAAAAAGTCACTACTTTTGTTGCTAGTTACATTTTGAAAAATAGTTGCTAAAGGAGTGATGAAAGTTGCTAAATAAGGTGACATTGTCACGTTGAGTGATTGCAACCGGTGTGACAAGTGGAAAATAAATGTGCTGTGCCTTCTTATGACGAAGGGACTTTTTATGAAGACATGTCTCTAATAAAAAATGGCTTATGTTCCCTTTTGAGTAAAAATATTTATTTCTGTGTATCAATCAGAATATATAAAATATACATGTTCTGGAAACTATAACTAACAATAAATCATTCAAAATAAATACATGTTCAGCTTCTTTCCTCTCAATTATTTTAAATTACATAAAACATTTTTGACTACAGACCGCCATCATAATTCCTTCATCAACTTAGATATCTACAAACTATGATGTTACCTTTTATTACAATGCAGAGATCTGCACCAAATGTATCAGGATGTGCCGCACATATTTATTATTTCAAATTGCATTCAGATTGGCTACTACTGACTTGATTACACATACATAAATCAATAAATAAATGTAATACTGCATTTTAAACTGTCTGGTGGCTTGTTTTTTCAAATCATCGTCACAAGCACACGCACACCCACACACGCAAAACACATCTGAATGTAATTTTAATAGTGCATGAGAGCAGTACAAAGCAGGGCAACAAGTCATCATTCAGCCATTCAGATACAATCCCTGATACAACAACGCAGAGTATGGCTTTAAATGCATGCTTCTGGAGCACATACGATGTGAGTGATAAAAATACATTTACTCTTATATGAAAGTAACAGTTCCAGTCAGACTCTATTATATTCCAGAGAAGTTCAAGAAATTCAGTGTTCAGGTACAACAGCCATACAGTAATATACAATTGAAGACTCGTGTTCCCAGTGCCTCTGCGGTCAAACATATTCTTTAGACATGGTCCAGTCGCACGTGCAATCAACTTTGTGACAAATAAATAAGCCCACGTGTCCCCCCCACCCCCACCCCCCCAAAAAAAAACTGTCCATAGTGAGACTGGTGTTCTCTGAACCTCCTGAAAGCTTTGTCAATTAAGTGTAGGAAAAGCACACGGCTGATACCCACTGTCTGCTCTGTTCGGGCTAACAAATGCGATCATCAGTTGACTAGGTTTCCTAGAGTCTTTACATTCTGAATGCCCCGAGCAAGTTTAATTTACCTGGCAACACAAGCTATCTGAAATATGATTGGTTAAGAACTCTACCATAATAAATAAGTTATTTATCGAGTGGCTTTCAATGTTATTTAAAATAACAATGTTATTTAAAATAACTTTGAAAGCCACTTGACTAAGTGGAAATAATATGACGTAAAGAACACAGAGAATAATTTTGTTTACATATTTATGAAAATAAAATAACAAATTAAATTTATGTTATTGTTTAGGCCAGCAGAGAAGGCCTTGCTGGCCCTGACGGAACGCCACTGCATTCAACTGTGCTTTTCGGCCTTGCCGCTTCCATGCAGTGATTTCTCCAGATTCTCTGAAACTTTTGATGATGAGATTTTTAAATTCCTTGCAATAGTACAATGTCCTGAAACTATTTGACTATTTTCTCATGCAGTTGTTCACAAAGGGGTGAACCTTGCCCTATCTTTGCTTGTGAATGACTGAGCAATTTAGGGAATCTCCTTTTATACCCAATCATGCCACCCACCTTTTCCCAGTTAGCCTGTTCACCTGTGGGATGATCCAAACAGGTGTTTGATGATCATTCCATAACTTTCGGATTTTTTTTTTACCACCTGTTCCAGCTTTTTTGCAACATGTTACAGCCATACAATTCGCAGATTATTTGCTAATAACAATAGCATTGATCAGTTTGAACATTAAACATCTTGTCTTTATAGTGTATTAAATTAAATATATTGAACATGATTTGCAAATTATTGCATTCTGTTTTTATTTAGGTCTAACACAACATCTCAACTTCATTGTTATTGGGTTTGTATCATGATTCACTTTCCTGCTTAGTTGTTCAGTCTGACATCTGGTGGCGGCGCTGCGGCATTAGATTGATAAGTGAAAGGTTTTGTCCATCAAATCCAGCTGCATTTGATGTAAAAATTACATGTTGTTTGCTGCTGATGACAAATGATGATAGACACGACAGTAGAGAAGTGACACGATACAATCTTTTCCATTGTCTTTCTGATATGTATTATCATACCGCCCAACTCTAGTGGTCAGTGGAGGCCAGTCTCCGGCCACAACCCCTGCGGGCGCGTCATCTCATTGCCACAATTTAGCAAGTCATTGTCTCACCCTGGCCACCCCACTGAAAAAGTTTTGCCCCGCTACTTTCTATACACCACCATAAAAAGTCACTACTTTTGTTGCTAGTTACATTTTGAAAAATAGTTGCTAAAGGAGTGATGAAAGTTGCTAAATAAGGTGACATTGTCACGTTGAGTGATTGCAACCGGTGTGACAAGTGGAAAATAAATGTGCTGTGCCTTCTTATGACGAAGGGACTTTTTATGAAGACATGTCTCTAATAAAAAATGGCTTATGTTCCCTTTTGAGTAAAAATATTTATTTCTGTGTATCAATCAGAATATATAAAATATACATGTTCTGGAAACTATAACTAACAATAAATCATTCAAAATAAATACATGTTCAGCTTCTTTCCTCTCAATTATTTTAAATTACATAAAACATTTTTGACTACAGACCGCCATCATAATTCCTTCATCAACTTAGATATCTACAAACTATGATGTTACCTTTTATTACAATGCAGAGATCTGCACCAAATGTATCAGGATGTGCCGCACATATTTATTATTTCAAATTGCATTCAGATTGGCTACTACTGACTTGATTACACATACATAAATCAATAAATAAATGTAATACTGCATTTTAAACTGTCTGGTGGCTTGTTTTTTCAAATCATCGTCACAAGCACACGCACACCCACACACGCAAAACACATCTGAATGTAATTTTAATAGTGCATGAGAGCAGTACAAAGCAGGGCAACAAGTCATCATTCAGCCATTCAGATACAATCCCTGATACAACAACGCAGAGTATGGCTTTAAATGCATGCTTCTGGAGCACATACGATGTGAGTGATAAAAATACATTTACTCTTATATGAAAGTAACAGTTCCAGTCAGACTCTATTATATTCCAGAGAAGTTCAAGAAATTCAGTGTTCAGGTACAACAGCCATACAGTAATATACAATTGAAGACTCGTGTTCCCAGTGCCTCTGCGGTCAAACATATTCTTTAGACATGGTCCAGTCGCACGTGCAATCAACTTTGTGACAAATAAATAAGCCCACGTGTCCCCCCCACCCCCACCCCCCCAAAAAAAAACTGTCCATAGTGAGACTGGTGTTCTCTGAACCTCCTGAAAGCTTTGTCAATTAAGTGTAGGAAAAGCACACGGCTGATACCCACTGTCTGCTCTGTTCGGGCTAACAAATGCGATCATCAGTTGACTAGGTTTCCTAGAGTCTTTACATTCTAGGAAATTCATCCTAGAAATGCATTTGCATAGAGTTCATGTCGATGTTAAAATAAGCAAATAGTTGTTCTTTCACCCCCTCCCTCCCCCCTCAAAAGTGCTGTCAATTCAAATACACAATTGGTTGACGAATATGACCACGCAATCAAGAACGTGATCAAGTGGAGGAAGCGAAAGCGAAAATTATTGAACCAATGATATCAGTCTTTCCAAAGTCATACCGAACAAAAGAATATTTTAAAGAAATGTACACACTAACCTTAATTGCAGGTTAATCATGAATGCAAACATTCTGCAAAATGGTTCATAAAATCGCAAACACAGCTATAGGCTTGATTCGTGTGATTTCACAGAATCTCTCTCACTGTTTTTGGTTTTGTAAACAATAACTTTCAAGGAATTTCTCACTGAAAGCCTTCATGGAAAAATACTGTATATACATTGCAGTACACTACGTTTAATAAATATTTTGGCCCTAAGGTATAAAATGAGAAAATTGAACAAAGTGTGATGGCAAACTTACAAACATCCAATCGTGTAATTTTTAAATTTTGTGAAGCAGCATTTGTTTTATTAGATTGTCTAAATTTCGACAGTATTTTGGATCTCAGGGCAACAAAAGTAAAAGGCGACCACTGCCGCAAGCCAAAACTCCTGAGAGTAAAGCTATGTATTACAATTACAACTATGTTCTTATACTTATCAGGGGTGTCAAACAAATTTTTGTCATAGTTTTGGGTTCCCTCGGCGGACCATTATGAGTGTGAATAAATGTATAATTACCTCATATTATTCCATATACACAACAAACTGATGGATAACTAGCTTTAAAATTACAATCCAGGAAAACAACTTTGTTCAGCTACTTTTCAACTCATTTTAAAAGTGTGTTTGGTAACAAAAAAAAAAACCAAAAAAAACAACGCAATATTGTAACATTCGACTTGAAAACGATGACCCATTTTGCTAGGAAGAAACATGAAGTCGAGGCACGTGATTTGCCTTTGTGGACCACATAAAATGATGTGGCGGGCCGGATCTGGCCCCCGGGCCTTGAGTTTGACACATGTGCTTTACATCCCTTACTTACTCTATAAAACACTGTAGTAACGTTCATCAGATGAATTATTTGATAGAAATAATACAGCATACATTCAATTACAAATCTACACTGTAATGCAAGCAGATTTGTTTAGGCAGGTTGCAGGTGGGTTACTGGCAGACTGTTGGGTCTGTGCAAATCATACAGTCAGTAAACACATGCACATTTCCATTCCATGCCAGCTGAGGTTTTGCACCAGCGGTTGTTACCACCTCAAAGTGCAGTGAGAGTACGGAAGATTTGAGTCAGGCAGAAGACAGATGCAGTGAGGGCAGTGCACTGTTTAGCTAACAGTTTGGTGCTCAGGTCATGGCAGCTATGCTTTCTGCCGGCTCGCTCAGCTGCCAGACAGAAGTCCCTGAATGAGCGTGCCACATCTTGCAGACCGGCAACTGCTTCTGCATTCCTCCGCTGACACCTGTCACAACTCGAAAACCATATGCATGCTCCCGCCAACTCCACTAGAGTCCGGAAACTATCAGCCAGAGAGTTGAGCATTTTCTCTGGACTCTGGTCGATGGCCACCACCTTTTGGCAGCATGTCGTCAATCGCCTTGCCTCGGTTTGGAGTACTTGCTTGTTCTCTGTAAAGTGGGAAGCACACATTTCTCTTGGGTGGCAACCTCCTCGACCAACTACAGAACGGTCAGCACTGCTATTTTCCAGGACAGAAAGGAGCTGGTCTACGTCCGCACGTAAAACTTGGAACCCAGTGGGCGGTTCTGGGTAACGTTGCTTTCTAAGGCGATTAATGGTGTCTTTTTGTGTTTGAGTGTGGAGATACTCTGCATCGGATAGTGGTGAGAGGAGGGGACTGAGCTCAGACGTTGGGGAGGAGGGTTGAATGTGTGGATAGGGGGAAGAGTGTGTGGAAGAAGATGTAAGAAAGGATGATGTTTGAGGATCGTTCATAAGTGGAAGGGGTAATCTTGAATTTTGCGTTTCACCACTGCCCTGGCATGAGAACTCATAGACGGTCAAGTCCTCTTCAAAGCTTCCCTCTCTGTTGAAGCAGTTGGTGTAGACTGCTGGGCAACCACAAGCATCCATATTTAATCCCTCGACTACTGACTCACACTTAGATGTTAGCACAGAAGTGCACCCAAGCTCCGTTTTCAAGTTTAGAGTACTCCCTAACTCTGATGATACTTGGGGTGGTTCTTCCCAGAAGGTAAACACATTACAGCCTGAAGAAAGTGGGTACGATGACTCCATTGTTTGTTCTGCTGGGCTACAAAGACCCATCAAGGGCCTGTCAGTACTGGTCCGTTGTGCAATTTGTGACTGAGTATGAAAATGTAGACCAGGCCCATTTAGATTTTGTGTAGTCACCACCATCGGAAGAGGGCTGTGGGTTGACCGAGTACTTACTTTATAACCTGGAGTGCTTTCACCGGGGGTGGTATCTTTCATCTTTGACTCTGGGGGTATGATTATAGGACCAGGAGTGTCCATCGTAAGGCCTGTAGAATCTCTTCGGAGGCTACTGAGGATGGAAACTGGGGGCTCTGTTATTGGCCGCAGAGTGTTCATGTCGGCTTCAAGGAGAAGTTTATGCTGTGGTTCACGTTCGACTTGGACAGGTAAGGATGTACTTTCATGGTCTACTAACATCTTTGTAGGTGTTTCCTTAACTTCTGACACGAAACTAGAGTTAGAGGCTGAGGCTGTTTCAACAAAGAATTCACACTCTACCTCAGATCCGGTAACAGTTATATCGGAATCATCTGACTCCACTACCTCTGTCTCTGTAGCTCTTGTCTCTGTGATTTCTGTGACATCATGATTGTTTTTTACAATGTGCGAACTTGGAATGTTCGCCTTGCTGTCCCTTATAGGACTTTGGGCTTCATTCTCCCACCCGACTCGGTTCAGGGTCTCTTGGGAACGTGATAAATAAAGAGGCAACTTTTGAATCTTTCCTCGAAGTGTGGAGGCAGACAAACGGCCCATGATGCTAGGGGAACAGGACTGGAAGATGAAATGAGTTGGCAGAGGAGGCTCTTTGGCAAGCTCATGGGTCATGGCAGTGTTCGCTTGAAGTGAGCTAGAATCAGCACTTGGAGAAGCACTTGGAGAAGCACTTGTATCGACAACAGGAGTCATATATAGAGCATTTAAAATCTCAGTTTTCAATCCATCCCCTGAAGTAAATGTAGGGGATGTAGGGACACTTGTTGCAACTCCAAGCTGAGTTGTGATGGAGTTTATAGTGTGTGAGTATTCAGAATGAGGATTACTTTTTGTATGGGCTACAGTAGTTGAATTGTTGAGACATTTAATGCTCATCTCAGATTGATCCCTTCCTGTAGATGAAATGGCACCCGTGCTGCAAGTTAAATCTGTTGACCAGTCATGTCTGTCAACATCTTTTTCAATATCAGTATTTGTCAAGTCATCATCATCAAAAACATCAGAATTTATGCTGTCCGTAACCTCATCACTAGCAGTTGTAGCCAATGTAATCACATCAGTAGGTTCATCTTCATTTTTCGTGATTTCTAAATGTAATTGTGAGTTGTTGACTTGGTTTGGTTCCTCCTCAGAGTTGGATGAGGATATTTCGGTAGAGGTTCCTGTGCATTCTCTATGTAAGCTTTGGGATTTGTGACAAAGAGGCAATGGAGTCAGAGGGGATGATGGTGGAGGCGGTGGGGGGCAAAATGATTCAAGTGTTGAGTCATCTTCAGGCATTTCATCTTCTGCGTGCGAATTGTGAACAGGGGCAATCTGGTGGGCACCCTTGTTATTCAACTCTACCAGCCATGAAGTCAATGTGAGAGCTTTGCCCTCACCTTCACTGCAGTTAATTGGTCCTTTTGAATTGTCTTTGTCCTCAGTAACCTTCACTGAGAACGTATCTGAAGTGAATGGTCCATTCCCTGTCACACTTTGCTCCTGATCTTCCTCTTTTTTTCTCTCTTCCACTCTCTCCTGACCTCTTTCTATCTCTGGTCTTTCACCTCTACCCTCCCCCTCAGAACTCTCCCTGACATCTAGATCTACACGACAACGCACAACAGTGATAGAAGGAGCTGCTATCCTAATGTGATCTGTGAGAGATTTTGATTCCATTGCATCAGGTTCCATCTCCATTTCACGTTTCCTGTTCCTGGTTCCTGTTGCCAAAGTATCTAGAGTTTGCTCGTTGGTTCCACTATTGGAGGGAATGGGTTTTGACTCAAGCTGTACTGGTTCCCCTTCAGAGTAAGTCAAAGAGAAGACAGTAGGACTTGGGTTATCGGTTTGTTCTGAAGGTTCAGGCTCAGAACTCAGTGTATGGGCATCACTACCTTTGGCCACAATGTTTTTACTGAGCATGGAATGGACCCGGTCCTGCATCGATGGTGGTTTGGGTTCTGGATATGACACCCTGGAGGTATAATCTGTTTCCATGAAGGAACGACGCTTACGGGATCTTTTTCTCAGCTCATCAAATGCTTTTTTGCCACATTCCTCCTTGTCCCATTTTTGGAGTTGCTCTTCTGATTTTCTATCTTTCTTTGCATCTCCCACAGAGACTGTGATGTCACTAAGATTGAGGGAGTTGGCACCATCCATTTTCATCTCAGTATAATTATCTGTAACAAAAAAAAAAGACAACAGGAAAACCTTTGTTTAAAGGACTATTTCATGCTACTTCAACAGTCAACTATCAGTACATATGCAATTATATCTTGCCTTTGGCACAATGGCAATCTGATTTCTTATGAAATGTGAGTTATTTTGGTGGGTAGTTTTCTAACCTGAAAGTAAGACTCCTCGTTCACTGAAACCCCGCCTCTCCCCGTGTGGCTGCTACGCTCTTTTTATGACATCATCCTAAAGCCGCCTGCTCAACACCGCCCATGACATCAGATGTTAGTTGTTTATTTTACCTTTCATTATAAATCGCAAACACGCTTCTGTGAGCCATAGCCAACGCCAAAACAGAGCAATAGCAGCCTGAGGCAAAGAGTACACACGATGAACTTTTCTCGAACATAACGTCTACTCTCCCGACTGCTGTCAGGACCCACCCGGCCCCCCTGCCTTGTGCCTCACATGAGGCATTCAAAAACACTTGAAAAAAACATTGCGTTGCAAAAATAACATGACGTGTTACCACGACAACAACGAGCATACCCTAAACTTCTCACAGCCAAGCGCTCATTTTCTTCCCCAAATCCAGTGCCTCGGAGAAAGTGGGTATGTGTTTAATCTGCAGATATGCTCCGAGATGAGTTAATACAGGAAAACACCACTTTGGGGTACTGTCTTCAATGCGGAAAAACTGATCTACAAAATATTTGTTTTGTCTTTTTTTTTTTTTTTTTTGATGGAGACCATTGCTTTGTTGTGTCTTGGACGTTCAATTGTAAACTTTTTATCTGAAAACAAAACACTCTCCTCAAAGCATGTATGCTACACCCAACATAAGTGTGTAAGTGTGTGTTCCACTTTCTATGTTGTAATTTTGAATTTTGAATTGCACAGCACTTAGAGTTGCATTTTTCTGTATGAAAAGTGCTAAATAAAGACTTATTGATTGATTGATATGTGGGAACAAGAAAAACCTACACAAGCATGGTCGAAAGTGCAAAGTCCGCATCTAGTAGTGTAGTCCAATCCAATTTAAACCCCAACTCTCTGACTGTGATTTTGCATCAAATATTTATGCTAATATTTATAACAAGAGTTAGAATTGGAATAGCTAGCACACTCACAAATGGTTCTGGGAGTTTGGGTTTGAATTACACTTCCGGCCTTTGCATATTCACCCCATGCTTGCATGGAGTTTCTCTGAGTGCTCTGTGTTCCTTCCACATTCCAAAAAACATGCATGTTAGGTTAATTATGCACTCTAAATTGTCCATAGCTGTGAATGTGGGTGTGAATGATCTTTATATGCCCTGAAATTAAGTGGCAATCAGTAGAGGATGTATCCCACCTCTCAGCAGCTGTTATACACTCCAAGCACATGTGCATTCCTATGTAAGACAAATGTTATAGGATGAGCAGCCCAAAGGTCTAGTGGTTAGCGCGTCGACCTCACAATGCAGTTAAGATAAGCTTTATTTGTCCCGCACTGGGGAAATTTCCAGTCTACAGCAGCAAAAGAGGTACCGGGTTCAATTCCAGCTCCTGTGTGGAGTTTGCATGTTCTCCCCGGGCCTGCGTGGGTTTTCTCCCACATATCCAAAACATGCATGGCAGGCTAATTGAACACTCCAAATTGTCCCTAGGTGTGAGCGTGAACGCGGGTGGTTGTTTGTCTCTGTGTGCCCTGCAATTGTCTGACAACCGCTTCAGGGTGTCCCCCACCGACTGCCGGAAGACAGCTGGGATTGGCTCCAGCACTCTCCGCGACCCTTGTGAGGATAAGCGGATCGCAAAATGGATGGATGGATGGATGGATGGATGGCTTTCGGATGGCCACAATTGAAAGTGATGAAATGTATTAAAAAAACAAACAAAAAAAAATTTTGTTTTTGCAGCAATTAATTTGACTGATTGAATCACACATCAACTATGGTTACTTTTATGAATTATGAATCAACATTAAGTCTCACTTGAAATGTTATAAAAATGTTCACATTAGTAAAAGGGGCCTTTATGTCTATCGTACATAACAAACCTACTGTGGCAGTTAGGTCAACCCTGTAAACCTGAAAATATTCATCTGTATGTGATTTCAATTGAGTTGAATCCATAAGTAAGCGATTCTGGACACACAATCAAATGAAGAAGTCACTCACAGACACCTGATTATGGAAAAAGTATCACCTTTGAGCTCCATGCCTGGAACTGTGTCATCAGGTGAAGTGAAGCCATCTCTGGCATCAAAGAACTCCTCATCAGAGCTGCTGTCTCCAAAGCCAGGTGGTGGCTGTAGGATGGGAGCTGACCGCAGTTCATGAGCTTGATGGCTTTCGACCTCCGTCCTCTTCCCGTCTCCTCTCCGTGTTTCTTTCGCAGGCCGGGAAAGGCTGCGAGCACTGTCAGGTGTGATGTTGGAGCAGAGTTTGTAGTAGCAGCTGGCATCTCTCTGGTCAAAGTTGAACACAAAGTCTGAGTGGGAAGAGGCCGAGGACAAGGATGGGGACTGTGGGTGTCCCCTAAAACTGCTCTTCCTGCTTGTTTGTGTTACTTCACATATTCGTCTATCCTCCTTGTTGTCATTCAGCTTATTTCTCCTTTTCCTCAAGTCCTTTTCTTCATCCTCATCATCATCATCGCTGGCCTCCGGAGGGCTCGGGAGGAGGTCCACAAGACGAGAGAGCTCAGCGAAGCATATGTCGTCTTCAGTGTAACAGCTGGCGGACTGATTGGTAAGGTCAATGTCAAGAGCGGTGGGGGCAGCTTCAAAGTGTTGGGGATCAACTATGTCAGCGGGCCTTCTGTTGCCCCCTTCATCGCTATTGTAAGATGTGACGTGAAGGAGAGGATGGGAATGAGCAGGTGGAGGAACAAGTAAGTTGGCCTTCGAGTGGTTGTGAGCGTAGGGGTGAATTTCAAGGGTTGAATAGATTTGAGCATGATTTTGTGCTGAAACAATTGGATGCATGGAGGAAGAGGAGCATGAAATCAAGTCGTCTTCCTCCAGGAGGTCAAGGGAGTCACTGGAAGGGCTGGTAACAATCCGAGAGTCGGTATGACATGAATCTGATGAAAGCTGGTCTTCGGCTACCCCACTTTCCAACTTAGTTTCCTGCATCTCATTTTCAAGTTTCATACAATCCTTGTCTGCATGGCCAATACTTTGGGCTTCTTTGTCCTTAAGCAGTTTGTCCTCATTCTCACACTCAAGTCGATGACTTTCTTTTTCTGTGTTAGCAGCGCTCTCTTCTTTTTGCCTCTTGTCAGATGATTTGTTATTCCTACATTCACTGTCATACTTGTTTTTCCTGGCGCGCCCTTCTCGTCTTTTCCTTGCCTCTGGGTCTGAAGAGGAGCCAACACGTCGGCGGCGTTTGGCATTGAAAGACGGATGGGTGACAGGCGACTCCATGTCTAAGTCAGATGAGTGGTCAGAGTCGCTCCCACAACGTGAAACATAACCTGTTGACCCAAATGCAAAATTGCGCTCAACATCTGAATGCATCCAATCCTCTGTTTTACCGGTAATTGCTTCTATGAGCCTAATGCGACGTCTGGAAATGTACACTCTGATTTTTTTTCATGAGCTGCCCGCGTACCTTCTTCAGCGGACACTCTGTGCTTTTTTGGGATGTCCATCCAGGGAAAGATGTTGATATTGGGGTCAACAAATACTCGACAGTATCCCGCGATTAGGCATGACATATCCTTCGCTGCAACTGTCTCCAGTAGTAGTGTTATGGGCTGAGGATGAGAGAAAGCAGTAATAATGGTACAAAGAAGGAGGGGGTTTGAAATATAAGAACACATACTGCAATGTCAGAAAAGATTTAATGATCAATCACAATGAAAATAACTGTATACATAAACCATTGTGCAATGCAATCAATTTCTTCTGAGCTGCTGCCGATAACATGAAATGAATTATTCAACAAATGAATGTAATGAATATAATATAGAATACAGAATTTTATCTTCATTTTGAACTTGAAGAATTTAACACAATAAAATTAAACGCGGCAAAATCTGAGGCAGCTATTAGTTAAGAGCACAACACCGATCGCGGCGGTGTCGCTAAGCATGACTATTGTGCACAAATACAAAAGAAAAGCATGAAACTTTAAGGGTTTGCTCTTTATGGCCGAAGCTTTCATTTCAGATGCAAAGGCGTTCTGAGGTTGACCTCTGGGATCAACTGGAGGTCACTGACCTCCAGCATATGAAATTTCTATACATGAAATGTGAAACATCAGCTCCTTCTTCTACTTCATGCATTCTCCAGGTGTTCCTTGTTGTGCCAACAGAATGTTTTGTTTTACTACCTTGCTTTCTTTCATCTTTGTTGGTTCACTGTCTGTGTCACATTGGTTTTGTATTTGTAGTATACAGTGATCCCTCGCTATTTTGCGGTTCGTTTATCGCGACTTCAGTGCATCGCGGATTTTTTCAAACATAAAAAAAAAATGCTTTTTGAATTTATTATTATTATTATTTTTTAATATACATGGAGTACAGTATTGTATATGTTGCTCTATGTTACTCAGTGTTGTTTTGCAGCTCCTCGCGGACCATTTGCGGACTTTTTGCGGACTTAAAAAAAAAATTTTTACCTGTATATGTTAATTGGTCGCTACTTCGCGGATTTTCATTTGTCGTGGGTGGTTTTGGTCCCCATTAACCACGATAAACGAGGGATTACTGTAACTGTGTGACAATAAGGAAGAGGCAAGAGGCATTTCATAGTCAAAAAACACTATGAAAAGAAGATGAGAGACGGTTGGAAAATTAATAAATACAATTAATCTTGGTTGTAAATGTACTGTAGGTTAGCGCTTTGGATGGCAAACAAAATAAATGGATGGCTAATGCTGTATACAGAACGTTCAAAAGTTTGTGGTCATTGACAAATGTCTTTATTTTCAAAAGAAAGGTGTTTTTTTGTTCCTGTGAAGATACAGTGATCCCTCGCTATTTCGCGGTTCGTTTATCGCGGCTTCAGTGCATAAAACATAAAAAAAATATATATTGGGTGGTTTTGGTCCCCATTAACCGCGATAAACGAGGGATTACTATAATCCCGAAAAATGCATCTGTCCGACAACAGGGTGTCCTCAGTTTATTGCAGTTCAGACATCACGATGTTATGAAATGGCATAAGAATGCATGCTAAAAAATGAGCGTTCTTTTTGAATTTTAACTAGGTAAATGTATGCATACATATTTACACACAGTACACCCAATGCATGTGAGTTAATCCTCCGGGTCTTACCATAACATCCTGCAGGTATATTTTAACCAAGCTGACCTTGTCGGACTCAGGAACGAGCTCGAGGCGTGTGATGCTGTTAAATTCTGTGAGGGTGGACAGGATGCTAAGTTTGTGGTTGATCACCTGACTCACTCCATAACGGGCACCCACCAACAGTGTCACTGTGGACTCTCTGTCCTGGAGCTGAAGATAGGGAGAGGGGGCTTGTGAACCACATTGATGTTTTGAAATGCACATACCCGTGTTGTACATCACTCATTAGGTTCAAGGCCAGGATAAACTGGAGGCTATCCGAGAATGTGACTTTGTGTAAGGTATACCTCAGGAGTCCCCAACCCCAGGGTCATTTGGTACCGGGCCGCACAGAAAGAATAAATAACTTACATTACATCTTTATTAACCTACAGTGGCACGTGACCTGCGTCACCGGAAGTTGTTAGCGCTCAGCAGTCTGCAATTGCAGCTTGTGATCGGAGCTGTCGCGCTGTATCTTTTATCGTTATCATTATTCTCATTCAGAGTTTGTTTCGTGTACAATTCACCGAGGGCACGGCAAAGAATAGGAATCTAGAGGGCCCAGGGCAGCACTTTAAAACGGTACGTGTGAGCTACGATAGTTAACAGGTTGCAAAACTGTGTCACATGCCTCAGTGTCAGGCTGTTGCTCATCATGGCGTGCGTGTGTATGTGCGTGCGCGTGCGTGGTAACGGGTCGATCGCGGGAGGTTGGTTGATCGAAAAGTTGATCTTCGGTCCAAAACGTTTGGGCACTGTTGGTCTACAGTATGTCACTCTTGACGCAGGTCAGGGCGCGCTTCTCAGTCACGCGATAGGTTACCGCTAAAATGAAACCCAGGAGCGAGCAAAATGAGTAAAAAAACAAACGTCTTTGGAATGTTTCTTTCTGGAAAAGACCAAGCCAGGAGACAGAAGAGGAGCCTACGACTTTTAAGAAAAAGCGGCTACATTTAATAGACAGTATCAGGAGTCCTACTTAAAATATAGATTTATCTCAACGGGAGATTCCCACGCACCAAGCCCACTCGGCATAAGATGCGGCGACGGTGAGTCGTATTTTTCATGCACTTTGTATTTGCGGTATATCTTATTTTGGAGACACGTTTAAACATTACCATAGCGACCAGAGAGTGATGCGGCCAGATAGGAAGTTCCTCGTGTTATGATTCGTTTTTCTTATTACGTTTAGAAAACACCACAGTATTCATGCAGGTTATATCGTATTATTTTGTTGTATTTATCCGCCACACCTTTAAGGCCAGTCCCTGAAAGTATTGTCTGATATTAAATCGGTGCGTGGGGCAAAAAAGGTTGTGGACCGCTGGTACACCCTACACCCCTTGTCAGCCAGGGAACCTAGTAATTATAATAATAAGCGCCAACCGCGAGGTTACTGTGCTGCAAACAATACAAATATTGATATATACATGAGTAAGATTAAAAAAAATTGTAATTCTTACCATCATAGTTGCGCTAAAAGATTTCCCACCATAAGACTTGAGCTCACTCAGCTCTTCCAGGTAATTTATGCGTGCTTGGTTGACTGTCAGGCCCCTCTGTTTGGAATCATATTGGGATTGGCTCTTCTTCAGCTGAAAGCTAATGGCCTTCATCAAATCTTTTTCTCGCATGTTTCTCAGCAACGTGGATGAAACAAAGTTGTCGATGCCCCACGTCTTACTGGAGCAAACACATCAACACATGACTTGACCGGTCAAGAGAAGCAAAGGTGCAGAAATACTCCAGAGATATTTTAACATAAAAATTTTAACTCCACTGGTTGAAGTTTACAATGTCAGAATCAGATCAGAATCTGAATCAGAATGGTGTGAATACATTGCATGCATTGCAATGTTATCTTTATGAAATGAATACGGAATGTGTGTATCGTTACGTGACTATCTTCAGGCTCGTCTTCGGGGACAGTCCACAGCTTGCCAGCCTCTCCTGGATGTGCAGGGCGGCAAGTCGCAGCGCGGTGTTACACCTCATTTCCACAGCAAAACGCTCTTGCAGGACATCATTCACTCCCTTAGGCAAACATAAACACACCAGTCAGCCTCATATTTTCTGATTTACACCCATTTGCTTTTATCCGAAACGGGATGGATTATTGCCAGCCTCTTCTGTCTAGTTGAAGAAAGCTACCAAATGTTGTAGCTTGTACAGTACAGGAACAGCCTGCTCACATTGGTCTCCCACAAATTATATTTATATTTATTGATTTTTAAATCAGTGAATGTCTGCGGCCTATTATATTTTCCTAAAAGGCTCTTTTCAAGTCTCTGACTCAGACCTTATGAATGCTGGAACACTGACAGGAGTTTTTTTTCAATGTGTTTAACAATGAAACCAAATCTAAGAGCATATTTCCCCATCCTTCTTAATAGGCGTTAAACCTGTTGCCTACCTGTTTTAGTACCTACAAAAGTAAGAAACCAACCCTGTATCACATTACGCTGCTAAAAAAAAAAAAAAAAAAAACGACAACAACAAAACCCCCCAAACAAACAGGGTAATCCAGTCTGGAGAAAATGCAGCCATTAAAATTCTCCACAAGTACAGTTGGATGACGTGCTAAGCAATACACCACCATGCTGCTTAAAGTAGTACGTCATACCATGTTTTTTATTTATTTATTTATTTTTTATCAAAACTTCTATATGGTGAAATCACATCTTAAAGTCCTCATTCTCACTTTTGAATAAGTTTGTTTGCACTTTACCGACTCTCACAACCAGCTCCAACATACCACGTGTACCGTATTTTCCGGAGTCACAGTTTTTTTCATAGTTTGGCCGGGGTTGCGACATACTCTGAAGCGACTTATGTGAGAAATTATTAACACATTATTATATCATTTCACATAACTTATTAGCGTGTTCTTTGTGCTATAGTTATCTGAATAACTGTTGATATGTTACATGAACATACCAGTCACGTTCTCAGTTCCTTGTTTATGTGTCATGTAACGTTAGCATGTCGTACACTTATTCAGTCTGTTTTATTTTTATTGTAAATTGCCTTTCAAGATGACATGTATGTTCTTGGTGTTGGATTTAATCAAATAAATTTCCCCCCAAAATGCAACTAATACTCCAGTGCGAATACATATGTTTTTTTTCTTCTTTTTATGCATTTTATGGCTAGTGCGACCTATACTCCGGAGCGATTTATTATCCAGAAAATACGGTACAGTTAGTTGTGTATGACTCTATAATGGTTGTCAGGGTCAGGGTCAAATAACTGCTGCATGTCTTTGAAGAAATAATATTTGGCAAAGGACAATTAATTTGATGGAAAAGAATGACAAGCAAAATTAGCTACTGTATATCAAAAATGTCCGTTTTAGCTAGCCATAGAGATTCCTGGTTCCACAGTATACCTGCAGGTAAAGGTACTCAAAGGCAGTCTGATCGTCTTGTAGCAGAGTCTCAGGTAGTTTTGGAATGAAGCAAACACGGAATAGACATCTGAAGTCACGGGACTCCTTCTTCTGGACCACCTGAACTCAAACCAAAAGGTGCATGTATTATATGTATTTTCTCGGTTGCTTTGGTTCATTTCTCAGATTTGCAAAAAAGTCAGTGCATTTTTCCAAACAATTCACACAAATAGCAAAATACCATGGTTCCCCTGCAAAAGCTATTTTCTTTCCAAATACAGTATCCTTCTGAAGCTACCCCACACTAAATAGTTGTGTCACTGAACATATCGTTGCCATCAGAACAAGTCTTCGTGTCATTGTGAGTATGAACAGTGCGCTCGTCTGGAGGGATGTTTTGATGTAACGTTTTGATGACAAATTCATGACTTTTCACTGAAAGTCACACGCTCGGGGTATGTGAAAGCTTGATTGCAAGAGACATTCACTTTTACTGTTTCCACTGTAAGTTGTTAACAAACCATCTCATTGTCATACAGAAAGGAACAAAAACAGCACTGCAGACCAGAAATAGTGGAAAGTGGAAATGTGAACATGGGGCAATCTCCTTTGGGAAAATTGAACATGGAACACTGTAGAAATTCCTACTTCTTACTAATTTTGGGCCACCAATTCCCATTCACATCACAACAATTATCTTCACTTGCTATGAGCTATTTCGGAAAACTGGATGATCATCGATTGAGCTAATGCTTCACCCATTTCTATGCATTAGAAAAAGTCCAAATTCACCTGGGGGAAAAAAGGTGGTCAGGGAAATGTATCGAAACACTCCTGACATTTTATGACAACTTTTTGTGGGGTGTGAGACAATTCAACAGAGACCCACAATAATAAAATTTTAATCAACTAGAGCCAAAGCATTTGCAACTTGTTCAAATAAATGAGAAATTGTTTTTTTTGTTTTTTTTTCCCCAAAGTGACACAATTATTTCAACATGGAACAAGTAGTTTAAAGGATTCCACTCTGGATATAATATACCAAAGCAACTGGGGAAAAACTGTAATTCACAGCACAGAGGTCATAGAAGCGTTGCTTGTACGTAGACGAATTTCAAAACATCCAATTGGGGAAGCGGGTCAAAAGTGTTGTCGGGATACCTGTTGGATCTTCTCCTCATCATGTAGTAGAAGTAGTTTCGTGACACTGTATAGTTGCTCGAGCACCAGGGAGAAATGTTCAATATTTCTCAGAGAAAGTTTTTCCTTCAGCGTCATCACAATATCCTGGTGCAAAGAAAATAATCATAGTCATTAAAAAAAAAAAAAAAAGAAAGACAAGAAGCAGTTTGATTCACTTTTTTTTTTTAATAACAAACTTGTATTTTAGATAAATAAAGCTCAACCTTGGGGTGCCATGAGCGCAACACTAATGTCACAATATTTAGTGACAATTTAGACAAGTATTGTCAACACAATTGGCCTTAGCCGACCCAGTCAGGCAAGGCCCAAATAACTGAGGGCTCCAAAGTTTCATTATCCTCACTGAGTACAATGTGATGTGATGTGTGCCAAAAATATAATAATCTGCATTGTGACGTCGATCGCAACGCTAGCCAACGAAGAAGCAACCTGAAGCTGCTGCGATTGCCAAACTAAAAAATGAAGGACCAACTGGTTTAGTGTTTATATCGTGCAGCACACATTCACAACAATGGAAATGATAATGAAAGTGACAAGGACTTGTTTATTCAGTCGGATATTGTCTCTCTATCTGGGCCCACGCAAAATGAATATCCAATTTTACAGACCATCAAAGCAGTCCTTCATTTGTAGTGTGTTATTTACACATGAAATTCATACTGTAATTTCAGGAATAAAAGACACTACTTTTTGTCCTATGCTTTTGAACCATGTAGCTCAGATGTGTCAAACATACGGCCCACGGGCCGGAACCGGCCCCCAAGGAGGTTCGATCTGGCCTGCAGGATAATTTAAAAGTGAAAACATTTATTCAAGACAGAGAATGAATATTTTTAATAAAATGCAATTCATGGATTCTCCACTAGGGTGCGCACTGTTTTGATCAGAGTAGAAGACAACATTGTTTTGATCAGAGAAGAAAACAGCAGTCTCAGTCTGTCACTGAGACAGACCCAACACAGCCGACGGTATCAATGCGTCAATGCTTCTTTATACCAAAACAAAGGAAAGACATGATATTTGTGTTATTTATAGCAGGGTATGGTATAATGTTAATGGTCCGACCCACTAGACATTTGTGAAATTAGTTTGACACCCCTGATTGTAGCTTTAAATGTGACAGAGTTAATTTATGGCTTTTTACAAACAAGACATTTACTGAGAGTCTCGTCACATTTGACCAATGAAATTCGCTTGAACGCAACCCAGTGGACTAATGAAAATGTCAAAGGTTGCTCTCATACAGAATCTTCATATCAGTCAGCCTTGTATTCCAATTCGAATGAAACCGAACGACCAAACTGAATGAAAAGGCTGTTTCCACGATCGATTCCGATTTGCCGTTTAAGCGCCACTGCATTCGATCAGAACAGCCATTTTACAGCCATGTGACACGTGTTGATCGATCTAAACATCACATGATCTATCAAAATGGAGTTCATTCATAGATTTAGCCCAGTAGTTGTGATTGATTTCACATTTATTAAAGCAACAGCGTGCTCAAAACAAGCTACAAGCAGTTAAAAAAAAAAGTTATCCCGTTGCAGACGAGCTCTGCTAAGAGGCTGCCATTTTCAAGTGCGTAAACGACGACGTTAATACAGATTTACATCAAGACAGAGCATGCGCACAAGTGTGCATTTGCACGCTCGTAACGCCCGCTGTAATTGAGACGTCATTATTATCATATCATCCACAGTCAGGGTTTCATGAAATATTTATGTGCATATTATAATGACATGCACCATTTTGCATACCGTGCTTGAAGGTCTATTCATTCAAATCATATGTGGAAATCTCTGTTATGTTTCTGTTTGGTTACGTTTGGTTTGTTCCCTTATGTGCCCTTTTTGTCGCCAGCTGTTCTCGTTATCAGTGTCCCTTGTGTTTCACCAATCAGCTCCATCAACACTTTGTGTCTTGTCCAGGTGTTTCTGGTTGTCTCGTTACTCTGCTTGTATTTACTTCCCTGAGTTCTGTCAGTCTTGGTTGGGTCATTGTGAGTTGTGAGTGTCTGTGTGCTCTGCTCCTGTCACGTTTTGTTTTCTATCACAGGTTTCTTTTGTTACTTTGGCTCTTGTGATTTCCAGGACTTTGTTTGAGCACTTGTAGTTAGTAATTTTCCAGTGTACTCCTGTTTGTATTTTTGTTAAATCCATTTTGGTCAGTTCACCCTGCCCCTCCCTCTTGCCTGCTTTTTGGGGACCTCCACCGCCACGTTTGTGACAATCTCAATGACAAGAATCTCCATTTTTCACAATTCCAAATGTTGCTTTTCACCTAGTTTTGTTGTATTATGAATGTATTGGGCAAGATAAGCATTTTATTTCATCAAACCATGACTGTGGATGGTATTATAAACGATGACTTCTCATTTTGTTTGCTGGCTATGATGTGAGAGTACCAAAGTTTAAGATTTGACATTGACTGTAAGAATCAAACCTTTCCTTAAGACAGGGTTGGAGAACTCCGGTTCCTTGAGAGACATATCCTGCCCGTTTGAGATCCCGCCCTCTTCTAACACACCTGATTCAATTGTTCCTGATCGTTTTACGCCTCTACAGAGCTTGCTGATGAGCTGACCATTTGAATCACGTGTGTTTCAGCAGGGAGCGATGGAAAACAGGCAGAATACGGGTCTCGGGGAACCGGAGTTCTCTACCCCTGCATTGAGAAATATTTAAGAGTTTGCATTTAGGTTAATGACAATTTGTTTTTTACATATACATGTAATTTGTACATACATTAGCCACTGCGTACTAATAGTCACATGTCGCCACGTAATTAAACGGGATATTATGTATATTATTAACCCACGCAAAACGCAGCTATAGTTCCACAGCATCCCAGAACCTTTGTCATATTTTTGTTGTCACATGAGGCAAATTAGCAGATGATCTTAGACCAGGGCTGCATTGCACAGATGGCTGTTTTTCTGTGTTTATTGCACTTGTTCCTATTTCTTAAACTCAAATCCGTTTATTCTGACTGTCAATTCCTCCTTCGCACATGGCAATTCCAATTCCACGTTCCTCTATCTCTCTCTCTCGCTCTCTCGTCAGCCAGTCGGCTCCCCCCGCAGCTGTAAATCGAGTTGTTCAAGAGCAAATAGCTGATGAGTCTTCAGTATGAGGGCAGACTTGGAACCTTTCATTGGTCCACTGTGACGTGTTCAGTAATTTCATTGGTCAGATGTAACAAGAATAGGTAAATCTATGAACAGCTTGATGCTTGTCAGTAAAAATTCAAATTTCTAAGTTTGGGGGAAAAAAAGTAGTGGTTTATCATCCGGACAAAATGGTGAGATTGTAGACTGGACTGCTACACCAGAGCAGATCTGAAAAAATATATATAATTTGGGGAAATTTCACATTTTTCAAGAAATTTAAAATGATGGCGCAGTTAAAATAGGTGGGAAAAGTCAATTACCGATTTTATCCCTTGATGAGCCCTTTAGTCCAAAGAAACATGCAAAAACAGACATTTTCGAACTGTAGCAGTGCCACATAATTCTTTGGAATTTCACAATCTTCAAAAAATTTTAAATGGCGTCCTATGGTCAAAAATGGCATGAAATGTGAGTTTTGTTGTTTTATCTATTGGATTAAAATGACGTGGTTACATTACAAAATCCCAAGTTTTGGTAAAACGGGACAGTGTAGTCTGTCCGTATGTAATAATATGAATGTAAATCTATCTTGTACCTTGACTGTCGTGCTGGGTTCAAATTTAAAGGCCTTGGTCTGCCCATTCTCCAGATACACCTTCAGGACATTAGGCAGGAATAGCAGCGAATTGCCCTATAATCCATACAAAAGTAGATGTCAAGGAGACGTACTGTATTACATTATACCCATCTTTCTATACTAAAACAATGACTGTATTTGTGTAGCACTTCTAAAAAGCACATGTTGACAAAGTGCTTTCACAGTAAAGACACCATTAACGTGTGTGTGTGTGTGTGTGTGTGTGTGTGTGTGTGTGTGTGTGTGTGTGTGTGTGTGTGTGTGCGCGTGCGCGCCAGGTACTTGTGATTTAATTTGAGTTGGACAGGTCACATTAATGCTGGGAAAAGGTTTCAAGAGATTTGTCTTAGTCTCATATTTTCAACACCCAATTCATCAGTGTGTCGACTTTTTAAATCCACTCTGTCACCTTTAAGAATAGTACCGACTGCTAGTTTTAACTTTAAGAAGCTTTTTTTGCTTTGCCCCCATACTGGCCTGTAAAAGTGACTTCCTGTCCATCTCATGCATTGATTTGCTAATTTCTCATGGCAAGAGTACAGTAACTGCATATATCATTGTATGCCATTGTTATATTTAAAATGCTCTCAGCATTTTCCCTGCAAATCCCTCTCCCTAACATGGGTCTTCACGCCCTGCACGTTATTCACAGTCATTATTCGGAGATGAGGCCACAATATCGACTTGCATTTTCTCTGAAATTAGTAAATGGACACTCCAGTCTCTGTGGTATTTTCCATCCAGCGTTTTTCACATCCGGTAACAGAGCCAGGCGTATGATTAAAAAAAAAAAAAAAAGCGATCACTTGTCTTGAGTGTATGAAGATACCATACACAACCGAGTTTACGTCCAGGCAAATATTCACACACAAAGAGAACAATTTATTGGACTTTTTGAACCACTTACTACATCTTTCACTCTGACATAAATATGTTGATCTGAAATGCAATGCTGCTGCTAGGAATAGATCCAATGGATGGCCGGGGGTGGGGGGTCTGACCACCAACTGTGAAATTTGTCAGCCAGGTGTTTCAGTATACTCTGAAATTGCCCATATATCTTTGCTCCTAAAACAAACATTTTACATAACCAGACCTCAGCATCCCGTGCTATGCAGATCTGTAAAAAATACGACGCTATCTGAAAACACGCATTTACAGAGGGTGAGCCTATAAATAGTGTCATTGGAATTGTGTTCACACTAACCTGAGAGTGGCCATTAACCTCCACCTCCTCAGCAAAGTGAACTTTTACAGGATTGGACTTGAGCTTCGCCCTCTTTTCAGCCGTGATAAATGATGACTTAGGACCCTGAAAGATATACAAGGCACTAAAACGTTTGCAGAATATTTTCCTAGTTTAATCAGCACTTAATATAATGCAAGTCGGCGGCACGCAGGCTATGTACTTTGAGTGACAAGATAAAATTTAGAGGCAAGCCATTTTCCCCAATGTGGGCATTCAGCACTGCCGGTGAAGCAATAGGCAGTGTTATTATGCTATGCGCATATACAGTAGTGCCATGGTGAAGCCACATGATTGATATCGCTCCAGCCTTTCATTTTCAATGGTGTCTGCCCTCATTTGGGTCAGGAGTGTGCTGGAGCCTACCCCAGCTGGAGAAAGGCGGGGTACAACCAGGACTGGTCACCAATCAATCACAGGGCATATACGGATAAACAAACATTCATACTCACATTTATAACTACGCACATTGACCTTAATTAACTTAATTAACATGCATGTTTCCAGAATGTGGGAGAGGAAGCCAGAGTGTCGAAAACAAACGCGAGGTTGGTGAGGCCAAAGCCATGATTTGAATCCCACACCTTAGAACTGGAGCAGATGTGCCAATGAGGACATCTCCGTGCCACTTTAAATATGAGCAATAATTCAGAATTATTTTATAATCTTCAATTAATTAATATTAAATGCTTTTAATTCGATTTAATTCATATTTTCAGAAGCACAGTAATACTACGAATGCATAGATACACTATATAGAAGCTGAGAGTCATGAATTGAGTAGAGGTTCAGCCACATTTATTTAGCGATCCCCTTCACATGAGTGAAATCATAAATTTGCTACTCGGATACGGATTGGATTGTAAAGCTTGGACACTTGCCCACCAACACACACACATACAACCAACATACACACAAGGTGGCCATGTGCTGCCATGTTAGGACCTTGGTGACAGGAGAGCTGTGCAGTATAATACTCAACCTCAAGCATGTGATTTATAGATTTGCTTGTAATAAGAACATCCATCAGAACGTTGGACATTGCATCCACACCAGATGAAAGGACACACACATTCAGTATACAAGGTGTGTCAGAAAAGTTCAGGGACTTGTGTGTGCCACAAAACATATATTGTATTCTAACCCAAACTACCAAAGGTGGGCATTCCGTCAGTACTGACAGTCTGTCACAAACGGATGCCTGTTTTGCCGATCAATGCGCCGAATGATGGGAAACTGACGGACTAAGCATCGACGGAAGTGGGTTTATTTCCGTCACCGGAATTGTTCCTTAACCAGTTGAGGACAGACAGACGTTCACAGTCTGCCACTGACGGACACCCATTTTGTTCAAAACAAACGGAAACACGCGCCACGTGTCTTGCGTGTTTTATCGTGGGGGTGAACATACACCGGAGCGGATAGGATTGACAACCGGCTCATCTCATTCCTCTACTTCCTTACTCAATCTGTTTACATGCTATCACTTCTCACCAGGAATTCCCTTCAGGAGGGAGGAGGTAGAAATGTTTTAGGGTTGTGAGACAAAGGCTCCTCGATGTCGTCATTTGATGGAGAAATCTTCTGAAGATGACATGACGTCACTGACATGTCATAAATGCACCGTCTGCATGTCAGCATTGTTACTATCACCGCAAATGTCCACTTTATGACGTTATGTAGTAGGATTCAATTGAAGTCAAACACCAAAACAGTTGCGCCTCACAACTTTGCATATGTGTTGATGCTCGTATTCCCTTCGATTTGCTGGCATGACAACAGAAATCTATCTACAATCTCCGAGTCCAATATTTTATGCATGTGTATTTCCATTTAAACCTTTATGGTTATGGTTTTCTGTTAAATCTTGGTGAACTTATTCATTGTGAGAATAATTTTTAAACGATTACTTGCAATTTGGGTCAGGTATGCCGGATGTATATATCACTTCCCTGACCTGGCTGTGTGTGGTATTTTTTTTTTCCTCTTTCCCAAGCTCACGGGACTTATAAAGAGGACCTATTTTGAAGAAGTGGACAACATTCAGATGTTTGAGATGATAGTGCTGGGGACGAACCCAGAAGAATCTTTTAATGAGTGCATGAGTGTCTGGCAGAGAAGGCTGGGAAAGTTTATTTGACCTCGGCGGGATGACATTGAGGGGGAAAACATACTTTTAAATTTGGATGATGAAAAATAATAGAAATATAGTTTTTATCACACCAGTCCTGGAACCTTTGTAATACAGCTCAGATACTACACTATGTTGATCAACCACTTGTCAATCAATGTGGACATTTGTCCAAATGAAATCTGTTTTGCAAATTCATGTAACACAATTTAATGCACACTCCAATAAATTGCTGAACCCCAGAAGAAATATGCTGATAAATCTTCATAGAATCAACCCAGTTGGAGCTCACACACAATCATCAGGGAATCATAAGAAAAAAAACATATCTTGTGTGGATCAATGGTCACAAAAAGTCGACTAAAACTAAATAAGGTTTTAATAATGCAATTTCTACATTAACCTGATGCTGTATCGTTGTCTTGTGCTACTGACAATCCTCTCCTTAGTATTTTGCTATAAAAATCGACTTCAAAAGAAGAACCAGTTTCACACGGCATAGGTTGTCACACAACAATTCAACTTCAATCAGACTCTGCTTGTGCGTATGATATTGGTGAGATAGTGTGACTTACCAGCATTGTTCTGAGTATAGTCACAGACAATGACTCTTGACACTCTCTATAAAGAAAAAAAAAATGGAGAGGAGCTGGTAAAGTTGATTTAATAAAGATATACAGCCTACCTGCGCATGCATTGTGTGGGGTGGTTAGGCCAAACAAAAAAGATAGTGTGTTTCCGGTAACATGAAATTTCAGCATAGGGTCGGTAGGTCGGACAAAGTTTTTTTTTTTTTTTTATCTTTTTTTTTTTCCCCCCCATCAAAAATTTAAACAAAATAACCATAAAACATAAAACAAGAAGACATTGAACCCGCCGCTCCGCGGCCAGCGCCGCTGCCACCTATTTAGTTTTCTCCCCGCTCCGGACTCGGGGGGGCCGGGGCGCGCCGCCGCCTCCGCCGCCGTCCTCCTCTGCCGCCGTCCTCCTCTGCCGCCGTCCTCCTCCTCTGCCGCCGTCCTCCTCCGCTCTCGGTTTTTACTCGGCCCGTGGTGTTCATCAAATAGTTCGCTGAATTTTTTCGCTACATCAATGGATGCTATTTTCTTAACATTACGGTGCGAGCATGCGACTGAAACACAGAAAACGCGGTTCAAACTGTCGTCGGAGATCGCGGCCGCCGCCATGTTTCAATGTTGTTGACAGACAACAGGGCAAACGACGCACGCGCTCAACGTGAATATCGCGAGAGTTTGCACCGATGTAAACCCTCGACACAAAAATGCAGAGGGTTGTTTGAAAAAAATGCCGACCGTAACGCTTTTTTTCGACGTAGAAATTCTCGGTCGGTCGGGTTACCGGAAACACACTACTTTTTTTTCTACGCCTTAAATGAAGTTGCCCGTGTAAGTGTAGACCTGATAATTTCAGCAGCTTGCTCAGGGGTCAAGTCATCGACAGCAACATTATTGATCTTCACAAGCTGGTCGCCAGGGAAGAGCCGGCCATCTGCAGGACCGCCTGGATACATAAAATGTCCTTGTACTGGGTGACGGGTCTGACTACAGATGCCAAAATCAACAAGTTATTTGGATGTGCAACGACGTGGCCAAGGCCAGGCCTTGCCAAGAAGACGAGGCAAATGATCTTCGTCAGAGGAAAGGAAATTCGGATGATCAGGAACAAGCCAGGAACCAAAAGTGTGAAATGTAGGCCTGTTTAACTGATTACAAAGCTGCTCCACTCTCCGGAAGCCATGACCTATTCTGTGGTATGAATGGCAACAGGTCAATTGTAACCACTTGGCATTTTCCTATTCTGCCGGTCTCTGTGTGCCACTTGCATAAATCGATGAACAAAGATATTTTGTTCACGAATAGATAATAGTTTTCTGGTCAATTCATTGAAATTGCGTAATTTCCTATATAGCACCCCTGTTGATCTCGGGTGCCACTGAATACGCAGATTAGAGAACATTTTGAATACAATTCAACTTGGGCACTAAATTATTGTACTTTAAGAAATCGTTGATGTAGGTCGTATAGTTATTCCATCATGGAAAATAATGGTTCAAATCATGGAACAAAAGGCCAACAGGAACATGTTATGACCATTATGGGTGGAGGAACATGATTGTATCCGTGAACAAAGAGCAAAGGCGATTCACATTTGACGTTTCTTGTCATACCTTGGGTGACCTCTTGTACCAAGATAGGTGGCTGGGAAGAAAGGGTGAGGCCATGAGATTTGAACTTTGGGTCCTTTTGGATCAAAACATTCAAGCGGAAAGGATAGTTCCTCCTCTCTGTGCAAACGGACTCTGCCGGTCTCCCATCTATTGCAACTCTGTCTCTGCAAGTGGTCAGAAAAGAACACATTGTTAATTTGCAGCTGGTTTTCCTTTTTTGTGCCGAGTGCTCAAGCTGTTATATTGCACATGAGGTCAAAATGAGGTCCCTTACAGCTATTCATATGATGTATGTACAAATAAGTTTTTATGGCTAAATTCATATGTTGCACCGTTTAATCAGGTGCATTTTGTCTTCCGGAAATGACGGTAATCGTAGCACAAGTCAGTGTAACGCCATTGTCTCGCCTCTTTGCATGCAACCCGCAGAATAGCTTGCCGTTTGTTATGGATCACGAGTCTCTCACGACACATAGAGCTAATATGTACCTCCCTATTATTTGTAATACCAAACGTACTGGTAGGGAACATGCTTCAGATAACAAATTAGATGTCCAAAGTTTTACCTGCTCAAAGACCTGCTGCCCAAATCTCGGGAACGTCTCAGCCATCTGCCCACCACCTGCTCCACCCTGCTGGTCCTGCGGGACGGGGAGCGACTCCTGTCCTGCAGTTCCATTTACCTGAGAAGAGGTCAACTTCGCTAGCGTCACAATTACGATAACGTGTTACCGTTTCAATTAACGTTGAATGCATAAGATTGGTGTCGAGGTAATATTAGCATACAATATGCGGTCATAATAACCACACCTAAAATGGAAACACACATACACAGTAATTCATGCTGTATTCAGAACATGCTATACTCATGAAGAGCACTTTAAAATACTAAAATAAATGAATAAATAAATAAAATGACTGAAATGATGGATGACTAGATGGATAATCTAGGCTGTGGTGTATCCCACAGCTGCAGGAAGCAATCTCTAGCAGACGTGCTTTGCTGATGATGGGCATTAGCACCATCCATTAGAGGGAACAGGCGGATGAGGCGGGAAAGGAGAGGATGAGATGCCAGTTGACAAAGACGAAAGCCGAGAAGTAAGGAGGACAGAAAATGAAAAAAAAAAAAAACAATAACAGTTGAAGGAGGCCAAGGCTTTGGGATGGAAGTGCCAAGTGACACAGTGTTTTGCCTGTGACAGTCTTGTGTTTCCTTTTTATCCCAACTATGTTATTCTCTGACATTTGTTTGATCCTTCTTCACTCACTCTCTTCTCAGGTTACAGAGACACAAAATGTGTTTACCACGCTTGCTTGAGGTCCCATTATTTATTCATTCGTACAATCCCATAATGATCTTCCAAGCAATACATTTAGATAACCACCAGGGTTCTAAATTAACACTCGCCAATCCGCCAAACGCAGGTTAAAATTAATTTTGGCACATAGTGATTAAAACTCATGATATTGTCTGTTTAGGACAATTTTAGGACTATTTCTGTGCACTATTAATTTACATTGACCGTTTCTTAAATAAGTTGGTTGGTCCTGCGTTGTTAACTCTAGGAAGCGGGGCAGGCAGGACGAAGCTGCGCTTTCCTGGCAAAACAGAGACTTCTGTAATGGGTAACACGTGTTGTGATTCTCACTCCATTGTTTTAAGCTATGGCCATGTAAAAGTTGTCTTGTTTCAAACTGAGTCTGCAGATGACTTTTACAGGTGGTTTTATGTGGTGAAAAGGATGCTAAACTATGTTAAATGCGTCAAAGATTATGCCTCATCTATCTGCATATTGTCTCCCTTGCGACATCACAGGTGCATTATTACTTGTTCTTGTTAATTCAGTGTTCTCTGTTGCACATTTTGGCAAATATAGGAGTTATAACATATGGTCTTTTTAGTGCAAACTTTGCTCGAGAAAATTACCGTATTTTCCGGAGTATAAGGCACCCTTCAATTAATGGCCTATTCTAACTGTTTTCATACAGAGGGCACACCACATTATAACGTGCAGAGACGCTACAATAGGGGTGGAGCTACGCTAAAGGGAATACAATACAATACAGCTTTATTTATATTGAGCTTTCACAGCCGCTGCAGCTGTAACAAAGCATTTTACAGAACATTCAAAATACTACGTCCAAGAAAACAGAATATTGAAACATATAGAAGGTGCATCAGATTATAAGGTGCACCTATGCCTTTTGAACTGAATGCTTTTACGTGTGCCTTATAGTGTGAAAAATACGGTCCCTTTTTTTTTTTTTTTTGTCAATTAAAAATGTGAAACAATGACTGCAATTTTTTTTAGATTGTTTATATTTTTGTAGTGGTATTTATTTAATTAGAACAACACTGTTTACTTTCTTGAATATGTTTAACTTTACTTTTTAAGGTATATGTGGAAGGAAACCAGAATAACAGGACAAAACCCTTGCAGGCATGGGGAGAGCATGCAAACTCCACACAGGAAGCCCGGAGCCCGGATTCAAACAAAACGGATTTTAACCCCTGAATTGTGAGGTGGACGTGGTAACCAGTCAGTTACCGTGCGACCCTTTTTTGGGTTAAACCAATTATGATCCAACTTTGAGTTGTACCTCGTTTTAGTCGAACGCAATGTTGATTTAAGACAGGGGCAGTCTCTTGACAAATATATTTGGGAGGAAAACGCCAAATGACTTGTTAAAACCAGCAGAATTAAAATTGCATTTTGCGTTCTGAACGCATCAAAGTCACAGTACTGGCAAATGAGATTACAAAGTACTGTATGTCTACAGGCAAAGACAGAGACTTTGTGCGTCACCCACGCTTAACCAGATTAGAATGAGCTTCTCCTTAACCTTCGAGGTCTGGTTAGGGCAACGGACTAAGTTAAACGGTATCACAAACTGTCTGTGGTTCACTACACACTTCCCTTTCACTGTCTGCCCTACTCACTATTTATTGCACATTCTGCTAATCGTCTAATCTTGTCATTCGTCTTTTTATATCCACCTACAAATGGTTTCGGATTCACAGACCAGCACACACCTGCTCTCAGCCCTTTGTGTCAGGGCTCCATGTGGGAGCCACTTAAAGTCCCATCCTGCTATTTCTCCATCCATCATTCTGCTGTGGAGGACCAGTCTTCATTCCCTGATGACAAACACAAAGTCATGAATCCCATTGATGGGGAATAGAAAAACAAACACTCTGGAATTAAAAGGGAATAAAACAATCCAGCGCTCCCATGTTGCTCATTCTTTATGCGACCACCTATCCTAACCATTATTAAGATGACTTATGCCACATTCCAAATAAGTCAGCATTTTAGAATGACCTTTTTTTTTTTTAAATTTCTCAATATTCCATTCTTATTCGTACTGTGTCAATAAAACATATTAGGACTTCAGTATTTTGTTAATTATGCAAGCACCTTAGGTGGTCTGATTTTGAATTGGCTATCACTAGTTTAACAGGGTCAATCACAAGCATTCAAATTTCAATTACGGTAGAAAGCTCTCTCCCTATGTGATTACAGCACTTAGCACTGCATGCTGCTGCAAAAACGGGAACACTTCCCTCCAAACGTCCCTAATCAAATGTTTTATGTTTACATGGAGTGAGAGAGAGAGAAAAAAAAAGTGAGCAACTGCATGAGGGAGAGCGAGAGAGAGATGAATAGAGCAGCAGCAGGGTTGGAAGAAACTGCAACAAATGAAAGATACATAAAAGAGAAAGCAAATCAAATGGCACACAGCTTGGCACAGAGAAAAGTCAAAAGAGTGGGATGGTCTACCAATCAAAGAGTAAAGGAGATAAGCACGGCAAATAATCAGGAATTTGGGAAAAGAACCGGAGACAGCTAGCGAGGCAGGCGAGGGGGGGTGAGGGGGCACGATGGTCCTGCCAGGCTCTTTGTGCTGTTTGCTGAGTCCCACTTGCCCCAGCTCCAAACACCATCCATATTTAATGAGGACCTCGCAAAGCCCCGGGAGAGGTACCGTCAGGCCAACTGTCAAATACAGACTCTCGACTTTTCCTGACTATAACTCTCTCTTTAGTCAGTCCTTCTGTTGTCTTTCATTGCTTTCCTTTATGACACGTACAGTGCAAAATGTATTCACACAGTTGGCTTTTTTTAAAATCTCTGTAAAATGACAACCTCCGATTTAAATGATTTTTTTTTATCTAAATTGTTTATGATGGATGTGCACAAAATTATCTCCATATATTATAAATACATATTTAAAGAAAAAAATCAAAAAAATTGGCATGGCATATTTATTTCATAAATATGATTAGATATATCTATATATTATATATAAGGTTTTATAAAACCTCTAAAAAGCTCTGATGCAACCGAACACATTCAAAAGTCAAACACTGTAATTAGTGAAATGAAGTCCACTTGCATGTAATCTAAGTGTTGCATGACCTTTCAGGGTCAGGGTTCCCGGTCTTGTCTTGAAATTATTTTCCAGGACTTTTTAAAAAACAATAATGGATAATGTGAATTGTATTTTTCTTGGTAAGGTAGGAAAAAAAAGAAAGACTGAATATCATAGAAAGTTGTGCAAGTAACTGATCCACTGACCCTATCGATATGGATATGATATTGGTAAAGAATATAATTGAATTGGTTGTTGAACCATTTATACACATTTGTGATCTCTCATTTTTCTCAGAGGTGTTTCCTGGCAAAATGAAAATAGTCAGAGTAATTCCAATTTATAAAAATTGAGATAAACATGATTTTTCAAACGACAGGCCAATATCCGTGCTCCCGCAATTTTCAAAGACAACAGAGAAATTGTAGTTAGGTTAGACCAAATCTTAGCGAGACACAATATTTTAAGCAATAGTCAGTATGGATTTTGAACTAACCACTCCACATCAATGGCACATATGGAATTAACTGAAGAAATATCCACTACAATCGATAGGAAAAAATTACAACAGATAGGAAACAAGTATTTTTGTTGACCTCAAAAAGGCTTTTGAAAATATTGATCACACCACACTTAAAAAACTGAGCAAATATGGTATCAGAAGGGTTGCACTTAAATAGGTTTCAAGTTATTTAGAATATAGAAAGCAGTTTGTGTAGATATATATCATAAAATCTGATTTGCATCGTATCCATTGTGTGTAACCAGAGGTCTGTCCTTGGGCCAAAATTGTTTATTTTGTATATGAATCATTTGGTTGGTGTAGCCAGACTGCTCAAATGTATTCTGTTTGCAGATGATACTACCGTATTTTCCGCACGAAAAGGCGCACTGGATTATGAGGCGCACCTTCAATGAATGGGCTATTTTTTAATTTTTTTTCATATATTGGACGCACTGGTTTACAAGGCGCAATCTACAATGCATTCACTAGATGTAGCTACGCTCCTTCCGTTCGACTCGAGAGGCGTTCATGACCGCCTCCGAAAAACATAAATTAACATTACTTCAATGAAACTACGAAAATTGACAATAATCAATTAAAGCAGATAATCAAGCGTGGAAACCACAAAATAAATTATATAGCCTCCCTTGGCATTTCCTTAAGCGTAGCTCAAATAGAACGATCAGATGTCAGTAACATATTGGAGACTGGACTGTCTCAGAAGTGTTTGTTATTTATTCCTTTGTTGTGTATTCACAAACGAGGAAATCACAAAATAAATTCTGTAGGGGGGCTATAGAATGTATTTTGTGATTTCCTCCCTTGATTTTCTCTTTTGATGCATATTGTCAATTTTCGTAGTTTCATTGAAGGAATCGTTAATTTACGTTTTTCGGAGGCGGTCATGAACACCTCTCGAGTGAAACGGAAGAAGAGAAGGCACGGAGACGTACAAAGACGTACCCGTATTTGTTGAGACTGTGAAAACCATTAATAAAGCGTGCGTTTTCAAAAAACAACACCACAGCTCTCCTTTTTTCGGAGCTGCAACAAAAACGTATTCAATAAAGCAGCGACACAGTTCACTGAACCAACAGCAAGTTATAACATTGGAAGCATGTCTCCAGCAAGGAGCCATCTTGGGGTCGACATATTACCGTAATGACCATACACAAGGCGCACCGGATTTTAAGGTGCGCTGTGAGCTTTTAAGAAAATAGAAGACTTTTCGGTGCGCCTTATAGTGCGGAAAATACGGTACTTCATATTCTTGTGAGGAAGCTATAATACAGGTTCCGAATGTGGTTAAACAAAAGATTAAAAGAAGAATAATGTGGTTTGATGTACGTCAAATAAATTATCATTCAATCTTGAGAAAACAAGCTGCATGATATTGAGTACCAGAAGGAGAGACACTGGTGCTCCAATTTGTTGGTCTTGATATGAATAAAGTCAGAGAAACCAAATTTGGGGTGTTTGTCTGGATGACATTTTGAGTTGGAAATCATATATTCAGAACATAAAGGTAAAATGATCAAAAACAATGGCTCTCTCAAATGTCACAACACTAATTTAGGATCTCACTTGGTTGTTGACATCAAAACGATGGAATACAGCTGAATGGCAAAGGAGCTGCTGATGGATTGGAGAGAGGGCAAACCCGTGGCACTGCCACAGCCAGGTTGACTAGTCCAGGGGCATAACACTGGCTAAAAACTGCATGAAAAGTTCTGCTCTCTGTGCACAAACCCAGTATGTTAATAGAGCCGAATTCCGAATAAAGTTTTTCCTCATTCACGTTTTCTGTTTTTTCTGTCGGACAATGGGGCAAATATAAGGGAGTGAGTGAACTGGAAGGCTACCTGTTAGCCATTGTTATGTTGAAGCCAGTGTATGTTCGTTGCGGCTCTAATTTGTTATTTACATCTTAAAATAAGAACGCACATTTGAGTTTGCAAAAAGGCATGTGGAAGGCTCCCCAAAAATATGGAGGAAGGTGCTCTGGTCAGATGAGACTTAACAATGACATTTTCAGCCAGCATTTGATCACCCCAAGAACAGCATTATGTTGCGGGGATGCTTTTCGACAGCGGTCAGTGTGAAAATGGTCTGGGGTTGAAGGAAATGGAGCGATTTTCCCTTGTGGGATGGACAAAAATCTCATTGGCAAGATGTGGCAAGCTCATTTCGAAACTTATCTCAAACGCCCATGGCCATGACTGCAGAGAAAAGGTGGCTCTATAAATTACTGACTTTAGAGGGGTGAATAGATAGGCGCATGCCGATTTAGTTTTTTTTTTTTTTTTTTAAACACACGTATACACACACACACACACACACACACACACACACACACACACATATACAGTGATCCCTCGATTATCGCAGTTAATGGGGACCAGAACCCCCCGCGAAAGAGGAAAATCCGCGAAGTAGGTACCTATCCCCCGTACAGGTATATGTACATGTGTATGAGTATATATAAAATTTATAAGGCCAAATTTAATATTATCATGCATGTAAATGTAAATGTTTGTAGTAATTAACATTTACTATATACTAATATATATATATATATATATATATAGTGTTTTAAAACATTTTTTTCACAATACTTACAATACCATATTTATAATTTCATATACCAGTGGATGAAAAAAGAATATATGTGATCATTTTCCGTCTTTATAAACACAAACATGAAATATAGATGTAGTACTGTATATGTTGCTCTGTGTGACTCGCTGTTGTTTTGCTGACTTTCGCTGCCTCTTGCAGACCTTTTGCGACGTTTTCGCAATTTTATTCATTTATTTATTTATTTTTAATGAATATTTTTGAAAAAGTCGCGATATACCGAAACCGCAATCAGTGAATTGCAAAGTAGCGAGGGATCACTCTACATCCATCCATCCATTTTCAGATCCGCTTTATCCTAAGGGTCGCGGGGGGTGCTGGAGCCTATCCCAGCTGTCTTAGGGCAGTAGGCAGGGGACACCCTGAACTGGTTGCCAGCCAATGGCAGGGCACACAGAGACAAACAACCATCCGCACTCACACTCACACCCGCTGGGACAATTGAGAGTGTTCAATCAGCCTGCCATGCATGTTTTTGGAATGTGGGAGGACACCAGAGTACCCAGGTAAAACCCACGCAGGCACGGGGAGAACATGCAAACTCCACACAGGAAGGCTGGAGCCGGGATCGAACCCATGATCTCTGCACTGTGAGGTCGACGTGCTAACCAAAAAAAAAGCGTGCGTGCGCGTGTGTGTGTGTGTGTGTGTGTGTGTAGTGTGTACATGCATGCAAATTCATCAAATAAATTTGAATGAGAGAAATCGTTAAAATCATAGGTTCCAATGATGCCAAATGAGTCAAAAGCCAAGAGCATAAATACTTTTGCAAGCCACTGTAAGTTTCAACATAATTACGTCAACTGCCACTTTTTGCAGTTTGCTGATGAGATTTTAGCTTTTCTCAGTCTAACTATTAATTGGTTTCAATATGCCACTCTCCCATCTCCACACAAAAGCATCAGAAAAAACATTTCAACAGACAACATTTTCGGGAGTTACTTGAGTCCAATCTTATGTCCCGAAAGAAAGAACGAAAGAGAGCTGAAAAAAACCCGGAAATACTGTGCAGTTGTAAATGACCACCATGCATCCCAGTGTGCATTGTCACATTGTTTACAATTCTGTATGATTGAATGTAGATGTGATATACTGTAATACTAATATAAAATACTGCTTGACCTGAACGCTGTACACAACAAATGTATTCTCATCCATGCAACAAGCACATCCCATGATGTTTTTTTTTTTTTTTTTTTTTTTTTGCGAATGTAGGTTTTATGAGTTTGAGTGTGTTTGTGTTTCAATGTGGGTGTGTCTTAGTCAAGGGCTGCATGCATTAATAATGCATTCGGATAATGCGGACGCTTCACTTTGCCAACAATTTACAGGCATGTCAGCGCACAGACTAGGAAAGTAGAAAGAGGGAGACATAATATGTGATATTCCTAAGAATATAGCGAGTGACACAAAAAACAAACAAATTCTTCTTCATTATACAAAATGTGTTGCCTTTCTTTAAAACTTTCAGGGCGACTTGCTCAATAGCAATTTCGAGTACAGTCGCTTTACTGGGTCTTTAATTAAAGAAGTGTTCACTATCCAGAGAGACTATGAGACACAACTAGTGTTTAAAGTGTATGTATGGGTCGTTGCTGTTTCACATACTGGAAGAACATATGTAGCGTAACAGTGCTATTCGCACACATGGGGAGATGCTAGTTGAGGTCTCTCAGGCATTGGCCCCTTGTACTGTAGATAAGTTGTGTTCTCTGTTTAAAATTAAGAAAGAAAACCCACAATGCTGACCGAAATATGACAAGAGTAATTTTTGTTGTCCAACAGAATTAGAATAATTTCATTCTAATATATATCTTAAAAACTAAATAATTATGAAACTTGCCTGGACAAAAATAGTAAGACTTTTAACTTAATATTTGCATTGTGCGCACCACAGAGGAGGTAGACGGAGGAGTCTTGATTATCTTCTTGGGCCGCCGCGCTGCAGGGGTTCACTGCACAGCAAAGATTAGCATTCAGAGACGTGCGGAGAAACATTATGAATTAATGTGAAATATCAATTATGATGCCTCTGTATCGGTACGTGCATTATAAAGAGGCCCACAATGATATATTGCCCTACGGATTTTTTTTTTAAGCACACCCCTACAAAACACACAGCTCAAAAGGTGCCTGAGAATATCCTCATGCATCCAGGTCATTTCATTTTCAAGGAATAGAATCGTTGCATTGTTGCAAGAACTAATGAAGCCTGCAAGGATGAGAGGCGAAACGTCTTCGAAGGGAATCAGCGCAAGATTCGCTTTAAAATAGAGTTTCCATCACTTATACATCTGTTGTCAACTCATGTTCGAGTGAGTCAGCACGTAATTTAGAGCTCGCTTTTTGGGATCTCAGTAAAAAATCTCAATCTTTGTCAGCGACAAGGCGAAAGTAACGGAACTATTCAATCACATTTTGCAATTTGTGGGAACAGTTTTCATTCGTGATATGATTGCGACAGTCCTGCGTTGCGGATGCGCTCGCCTTGAAAAGGCTACAGTTGCTAGTCAGCCTGGTTCTGTCAAGCCCTCCAAGGCTTTTTCTTGACTATCGTGTCATGTTGTTTGTCATTCAGTTGAATCAGGGGTGTCAAACTCGTTTTTGTCCGGGGCCACATTTTAGTTACTGTTTCCCTTGGAGGGCCGTTATGACTGGAACCATATAAAGAAGTCAAGAATAATGGTTTATCAAAGTATTGTTCAAGTTACCCTAATGAGGGGCTTACAATATCTCTCTTATTTATTACATATGAGAATTTTTACATTTTGGTAGAGATCTTTGCAAGCATCATGGACGTTGACGTGTTTGATTTGCTTTCGCGGGCCACATAAAATGATGTGGCGGACCAGATCCGGGCCGCGGGCCTTGAGTTTGACACCTCGAGTTAAATAATAGACAGTGGTTGGTGGCTCAAAACATTGTTTCCTAAACACGTCTTTGTTTCCACGAGATGTGATCATCGACAGGTATGCAACATATGGTCGCCACCTCTGATTTGTTGGTGATTGTCCAATTTTGTTGAGTTCGATCGTATCACTTGGTATACAGCAGGCTGCAGCCATGCACAACTGGAAGTTAGTGTAAAAAAAAATAAAATAAAACAACAAAAGTACATTTTTAATAAAGTGTTGATATTCAGCCAAATAAGTCAGATCATACAGTATACTAGGTGACATACAATAAGAGATGGAGTATGCTCTTGACAGACAATCATAAGACATTATAAATAATGGTAACCACTGCAATGGGCATTTTCCAAGGATCAACTGAACATGCACATTTTGGGACTTTGGGAAGAAAGCACAGTAGGCCTATATTTATGGAGAAAGAACAACAGAAAAGTCAGAACTGAGCAAACCTGCATCCCTATCAGTACCTTCTTGTGGCACCACGTTCTATGTGTTGTGTGACACATACAGGAAATAATTCATATTTACACCAGCAACAGCATGCCAAACTAGACCCATTGACATCACATTTTGCACTCGCCTGACCTCATTTTGACAATTAGTAACAATGCTCGTTTTCTTACTGTATTGTATCATTATGCATTTGTTCGAAAAATATAGATGAATCTCCATGAAAACAGTGACAGGCACACCCAGAGCCTTCATTGGGTATTAAACTTGATAAATGCAGTTGCATCAAAAATGTATCCGAGCCTAAAAATAACATCATAAATTAATAAAGACTGGGAAGGCCTTCAGAACTTGGCAGCTCTCATTTCATCTCGTGTACAAGTGTCACCGCTTATTTGGATTCCAAATCTGGTCATGACAAATCGACAACATTGAAACACATGCTCACGTCTTGCAGCGTAAATATGTACACACATGGTTTGAGCACATGCAATTGCAATAATAAAGGTTGCTTTGTTCAGGGAGGAATGATGCAGCAAAATATTCCGAGCAACATGGTTCTATGAAATGCATGGAAGTGTCTGCGCGCTCAAGGTACCGTTGGTCAATGAATCACGCTATTGATTTTTTACTCGCTGTGATTTATTTGTGTAGTCATCAATTCCTCTGAATTCACTGAATGAAGAAGTAGCTTACTTTCAGAGAATGTACTGTGTTGTTTTTTTCCTAAAGCTTTCTCCTGTCAGTAGTGAGACATACAGTACGAAGGCTTAGGTTCAGATTTCTTATAACCATCCAGTTTTTTCAGCACCACTCATCTATCTGTCCGACTGCCTGTGAGATGAGAAATCCCCAAATAAATCTGCCATCCTCCCAATGTCTTTGGCATGGCTTCATCACATCAATCAGTGGATCTAAACATGTTAAATTGAGCAGTGCGCAGTCACAGCCCGTTCTTGCCTGCATTATTCCTGAGTAGCAGTGTACTTAATCACTATATGAAACTGTAATGTGACTGTATTTCTTGATTGTGATAGGTCTGAAGGAGATAAGCTCTCCATTGTGTAACTAGTAAGAGACACTTTGTTCACAAATTAAGAGTATCCACACACTGCTGGAAAGCAGAGTTTATTGACACCTTTAATGGATAGTCAGTGAGTTAGTTGGCTACTGTGCTGGTGGAGCCTCAAAGGGATATGCTCCTCTTGCCTTGGCACTGAACTTTAACTTTTAGGTAAAAACATCCTAAAATAAATGTACAGTATTACTCTTTTATTTGTACTTTACCTTTTTGTTCAACATTATCAGCAATTACCAGCCCCGTTTAACGCGTGCACTATCCTTCGAGGCGACACAGGATTTCGAAACAAACACACTGTTATTTTTATTTTACTGTTTTTGAACACAAGCTATTGCAGTTTCCGACTGTCTAGTTGTTATTCAGTCTTGTTAATGAGAGTTAAAGACCTTACCGTGAGGGTTTGTGTTTCTAATCCCCTCCAGTAAGCGCGGGGGGTGGAGATGGTGCGGCGTGGTTCACACTATCCCGAACGCGAAATAATAACGACCACAAAATAAAGACAAGTAGATTTCAAAATGAAAAACTATCATTCTACAGTCGCCGAAGGCAATCCTCCATGTTAACGCAAAGGACGCACGTTACCAACAGCGGGACAGCGCGCGACGCTGAAAGGTGAGGCGCGTGCACGCCGCACCGTAATACTTTCTCTCTCTCTCTCTCTCTCTCTCTCTCTCTCTCTCTCTCTCTCTCTCTCTCTCTCTCTCTCTTCAACACCCCAGCACTATGAAGACCGCTACCAGAATCAAAACCTTGTTTGTTTGTCTGTTTAAAAATAACTAACAACTCAATTGCCTGAAAGGGGGGGGGGGGGCATAATATATTTGGATAGCCATTCTTTAATATGTTCAAACATGTCAACATAAGTGCTTCCAAATTCTGTGGTGTGCTGTGACTGCATTAAAAAGCATATTTGGTTAGCCATTCTTTAATATGTTAAAACATGTCAACATAGGTGCTTCCAAATTCTGTGGTGTGCTGTGACTGCATTCGATTTTGTGTGATGACGCATATATTATTTTTGTCCACTTGAGGTCGCCTTCCTCACATAAAAAGCGGTCCTTTTTTATTTTTGCTGGTTAACACAGTTTATCCCCACGAGGCTCCCGGCGCGTTTTAGCCCCGCGGTAGGCGGGGTACACCCTGATCTGGTTGCCAGCCAATCGCAGGGTACACATAGAAAAACAACCATTCACACGCACAATCACACTAGGGACAATTTTTAACCTGCCGTGCATATTTTTGGAACGTGGAAGGAAACCAGAGTACCTGGAAAAAAAGCAACGTAGGCACGGGGAGAACAATGCAAATTCCACACAGGAACGCCGGAGCCGGAAATTGAACCATGCAACTCTGCACTGTGAGGCGGACGTGCTAACCAGTCGATCACCGTGCCGCCCCAGGAAACTCGATAAACATATTGACCAACATGACAGCTGAGTTTAGGTTGTTATCATGCCATAACGAATCATTCTGCTGATAGGAAGAATTACAACATGCAGACATACAGGATGTCAATTCTTTCATTCGCTGCACGAAGAACGAATTCACTCACATATCAGAGATTTCAGAATTGATGGGACAGCTCCATGAATAGTTTGGGTGTGAATAGCTACCTAGCTCAGGATGTAAGCATTTGTCATCATTTCTCCAACCCGTCACAATTTCCAATTCTTCTCATCACTTTTTACATGAAACACACACTGTATTCTGTTGTTTAACATTTTCTTTATCTTACTCTGGGAAAACATACCAATATAGATAATGCTGTAATAAAAGAACACATAATTTAGCAACATTTTATCATACAGTAAACGTGTATTGTAATGTACTTTATGGACGTGTTTGTAGTTGTGATGACCTGAGCAGCCACAAGATGTCAGTGTTGCACAAAACATTGTCATCATTCTGTTTTGCCTGAACACGTTCATGTCGAAGTTTCCCATTTGCTGGGGCATAAATGTGTCTCGTGCAGCTTTATATTAGGACGTCAACCCCAATTTCCTCCCACAATAACGTTATCACACAGACCAACAGGACAACTGAGTCTAGGTTGGTATGCCATAACGAATCATTCTGCTGATAGGAAGAATTATAACATGCAGACATACAGAATGTCAATTCTTTCATTCGCTGCACGAAGAATGAATTCACAGACATATCAGAGATTTCAGAGTTGATGGGACAGTTCCATGAATAGTTTGGGTGTGAATAGCTACCTAGCTCAGGATGTAAGCATTTGTCATCATTTCTCCAACCCGTCACAATTTCCAATTCTTCTCATCACTTTTTACATGAAACACACACTGTATTCTGTTGTTTAACATTTTCTTTATCTTACTCTGGGAAAACATACCAATATAGATAATGCTGTAATAAAGAACCCATAATTTAGCAACATTTTATCATACAGTAAACGTGTATTGTAATGTACTTTATTGGACGTGTTTGTAGTTGTGATGACCTGAGCAGCCACAAGATGTCAGTGTTGCACAAAACATTGTCATCATTCTGTTTTGCCTGAACACGTTCATGTCGAAGTTTCCCATCTGCTGGGGCATAAATGTGTCTCGTGCAGCTTTATATTAGGACGTCAACCCCAATTTCCTCCCACAATAACGTTATCACACATCCACTTCTAGTCAGGCCCATTTGGCCAACATGCCATTCAGGTCTAATTTAAGTCAGCTTTGGTCATGGAAACCTTCCCGTCGACGTGGTGGTGTCTCTCTCTCTCTCTCTCTCTCTCTCTCTCTCTCTCTCTCTCTCTCTCTCTCTCTCTCTCTCCTTAACTTGGTCAACAGCTGGTAGACAGAATTTAGAATTATTTTTAATTTTATTTTTATTTCTTGAAGGTTTTTTTTCTTTACTTGGTGTCTGTTTTGTGCACACAAAGTTTGTCTCTGTTTTTCATCTGAGAAGTGAGAGAAGTAGAATCATGCCTGCTAATTTGGGCTGGGTATTGACAACAACTTCACTGGACAAAGCACATCACAATACAGCGGTCACGACACGATATGTTTCGCGATAGATACAAGTGTATCCCAAGATATGGTCTTCAAGGTGATACGTATTATGATAATTTACATTATTTTACATACGTTTTTATGAAAACAGTCAGATGTATACCCATATGGACCATTGATTTTGCTGGAAGGCAAAATATTTTCTTTTTCTACTGTTATTAGCGCCTCCGGTCCACAGGCAAAGCCATGCCTGGTAAAAATGCATGCATCATGCACAGCAAGGATTAGCTTTCAGTGATGTGCCGGACCACTTTATAAATGAATGTGCTGTAACGATACTGATTCCTCTGTATTAATTATGTGTATTATAAAGAGGCCCGCAACGATATATTCCTTTATGGATTTTTTTTTTTTTTAAATTAAGCACACCCATATTGTTACTAGAGGAATCATTCTGCTGTGCAAAGATACGAGTAGTAATCACATTGTATCCTATGGTGGAAATAACCACAATTGTTCCAAACTGATCAGAACAAGAACTTTAAATCATATAAACACATGCCAGGATTGTAAGATTACACCAGTCCTTCTCAAACTGTGGGGCGGACACCTTGGGAGGTGGAGGGTAGGGGAGGTGTGATGCCGGTGGGACGCATTTGACCCCAGGGTTTGTGTTTTTGATATACTGGAATAAGGTGTAATTTCACATCCACTGCAGTAGGTGGCAGTGGCACTCACATTGTCAGTGTGTACGCAGGGAACATTATCTCTCAGGTGTCGGGGTTTCTCTGCACCGAGCATGTGTACACAGAACACTGAGCAGGAAATATGAAGTACAGTATAGTAAAACAATCCTTAAGAGACCCCATGGAAAATAATATTTAAGAATGAAAACAAAGGCATAGAGAGACTTTAATGAAGTTATTTTTTGTTGTAAATGAAACGATTTTCTTTCTTTTTTAGTCTTTAATGTGATTAAGGATACGTTTATGTAGATGTGTACTCAACAATTTCATGGACAAATTATACACTTGATTGTCGCGGCGGAGAGATGGAGGGGCGTAGGCTAACGGAAATCTGTTGAGGAGCACTGAATACACAAACAGCAGTACAGTGTCATAGTGGTTAGCATGGACTGGGGTTAAAATTTTTCCTCCCACATTGCAATAACATGCATGTTCTTGGGTCATTCACTAACACATTATAAAGCGTACATAGGAATGATTGTGAATCATTGTTGACTGCTCTGCGATTGGCTGGTGGCAAGTCCAGGGTGCCCAAAATCAGCTATGATGGGTTTCCACTCACGTGACCCCAATGAAACAAGCGGCTTCGAAAATGAATGGATGCCAAATTATCCAAAGGCAGTCACTACTCAAAATACTTCAACATACTGACGTTGACCATTTCGAAAAGTACAATATTTTCTTTGAAATTGAATTGCTCTAATGCATTGCTTCACCATTGATCTGCATTTCACTAGCATGGAATGGGATTAAAATTTTTCCTCCCACATTGCAAGAACATGCATGTTCTTGGTTCATTCACTAACACATTATAAAGAGTACATAGGAATGATTGTGAATCATTGTTGACTGCTCTGCGATTGGCTGGTGGCAAGTCCAGGGTGCCCAAAATCAGCTATGATGGGTTTCCACTCACGTGACCCCAATGAAACAAGCGGCTTCGAAAATGAATGGATGCCAAATTATCCAAAGGCAGTCACTACTTAAAATACTTCAACATACTGACGTTGACCATTTCGAAAAGTACAATATTTTCTTTGAAATTGAATTGCTCTAATGCATTGCTTCACCATTGATCTGCATTTCACACTATTGAGCTAATGACTAATGATAGTGGTTTACTCAGTTCTGTGAATATCTAGATTGAAAAAAATCTCTTCCATGCTGTTGCTCTTTTTATATAATGTATTGTCATGTGGCACTTTAATAGCTGGACCCATTTGAAATTTTGTTGGCTCTTTTTGGGGGCAGCATTTGAATTATGTTTCGAACTCCAAACAACCCCTCTCCCGCCTTGTTTTGGCCTGCTCGCTGAGCTTCTTCTCAAGATAAAAACCTCTTGATTTTCAAAGCCAACCGATCGACACTGAGAAGGTACATTTTTTTTCTTTCAATGCCGTCCTAAGGAGGGGAGATGTTTTTTGTTTCATGGCTGACATGAAAGGAGAACAGAGGATGCTCTGTCATTAGCCTTATTAGCTTCATTAGTGCAGTATGGACGAACTTCAAATGACTGGCTTCCAGTTATTTACGTTACCATAGAAGCAACACGAGTAGTTTTTCATGTTCTGTGTTGGAGACTGTGAATGAAAGTGCTTGAAATTGAAGACGGCCAATCCATTTCCGTTCTCACCACTAGATGGTAGAACCACTCAGGAAAGCGTCAGAGGAAATGAAAGCAAAATATATCTTGGTTTCAGATGGGATATGTGTCATAATTTTTTCAAACAACATATCCAAAAGCTATGAGCTATAAACTGTATGTTCAAACATAAAAAGAATTGATATAGTCACTAAACTACTGGACTTCAGTAGAAAAAAAAAAACCCATCACACGTTTTGAGTGAAATAATCCAGCAGTCTCGTACATTAAACACTCGTCATACAATGTGTAGAGCTAAAGGATTTTAAGAGGCAC